TAGGCGAACGCGGCAGCCAATTGCGCACAGCAATGTCCCACAAACAGTCATGGATTGAAAATGACCAATTTATTATTGTTTTGTTTTTTTGGAGGGATTATTATTAGGCTCTGTGTGGAGTAAGGAAACTTGCCCAAGGTTTCGCCCTCTGCCTGGAATTGAACTCAGGTCTCTCGCTTGCAAAGCGAGTGCTCTAACCACTGAGCTACAGGACTCCACGCGGCAGAGATTGGGTATACTAGATCTGCAGCACACTGTTGTTAAGGCACTCACTTAAAACTATCAAATACATACTCTGGGGGCCGCGTACCTTGGCTCTTGCGAATCTGCGCTAATACTTTCCAGAAGTAAGTAAGCAGTATACACCCTCCAGGGAGAGATTACATATTCTATTCCAACAATCTATCTCTGTTATTTCCATGTGTTAGTGGAAGGTATGGAAATCTCCACTTGGTTCAGATATTCTTAAGCATGGTGATGGGATTCTTCATGTTTCAGACATCCGGCTGCTGACCAAAAAAGAAACTGTGTGTTCAGGACCTAACATGGGACCTTAATCTGCATCTGTCCCTCCCAGATGTGAAGAATGCTTCCGATGCTGAAAATAAGATAGTGAGCACGACAGTGTACGGTTAGAGACAGGAAACACTTTGTTCAAATAGTTCGGTCCGGGTAGACTTATAGTAATTGCGTCACAGCGGGGTAAAATAAATCTTTCAACATAGCCATTCTGCAGACAGTTGTCTGTGCATGACATCCTCACAAAACAGCGATTTCAAGCTTTTTTTTTGCTGTATTTCAAAATCTCTTTGTAATTCCCAAACTGCCTCTTGCAAATACAGTGAGAGGGTTTGAAATGTTGACTTCCTTTTTCTTTTGTCAAATCCAATTTGCTCTCCTTAGCCCCATAAAAGGTCTAATTCAGCCAACTTATTACAAATACACCCCTAGCTCTAACCTCCTCTTTCAAATACAACATACAATAATACTAATCCTTCCACTTGATATAGCACTTTATCGCGTTTTCTAGATGTCTCAAATGTTTCACAGAATACACCGTAAAGTGAATTGACAGTATATTTTGTGGGCGAACAACAAGTTACATTTATACAGTGTCCTTTAAGCAGGGTAGCGTCTCTGAATGCTCAGAGATGCAAACAAACATGCGGTGAGTTTATATTTTTATCTTAATTACTCATAAATATTGTGTTGTTAGTTCCTTATTTTGCATCTGTTGCCTAGCATGAAATATTATTGCTTTGAGTGATTATGCTTTAATTAGCCCAGTCTGAGTGTCAGCCTGACTCAGTTGGTAGGACTTTCATCTATGAATCAGAAGATTGTGAGTTCAAACCACACAATACGACTTTGAATTCAGTCTAGTTTCACACTCCGGTGCACTGCTTGGGGTGGATTTTGGACTTGTCGTCTTTTGGCTAGATAAGCACTCTGGGACTCTACCCTGCGTGAGGGGCACTATATAAATACAGGTTGTTGTTGTTGAGATGATAAACTGAGGCACCACCTGCTGCCTCTTATGAAGGTTATAGATCCCATGAGATGGGAGTTTCTCCCAGTGTCTTTCAACTAAAATTAATCGTTCACTTCATGGACATTGCTGTGCACGAAATGACCTCCCTTCACTTACAAAATATAGTCACATATTAAAGTTAACCCCTCAAAACAATTTGAGAGCCTACTGATGTGAAAGGAGTTATATGAAATGCAAGTATTTTTGTTTTTATTCAGTATTAGCTCCTACTGAAGCTACAATAGGTGGCTTTAGTATGCAAACTCCTTGTTTGTTGGTCTCTCCAACTCCTCCCTCCACAAGCTGCAGATCATCCAGAACTCAGAACTTCTCCCGCAATAGGCTCCATGACCCCCATCCTCACCTGACTCCACTGGATTTCCATCACACAGAGTATACAGTTCAAGATCCTGGTCCTCACCTTCAAAGCCCTCCATGGTCTTGTTCCCCCCTACCTCTGTGACCTCCTAACCCCTACTATCCTACTCGCTCCCTCCACTTAGCAAGCACCGGCTGCTTCACGTCCCCTGCCTCGCTCGCCCCACTATTGGCGGGCGGGCCTTCTGCAACTCTACCCCCACCCTCTGGAACTCCATCCCACAGACCCTCCGCTTCACTCCCTCCCTTACCTCCTTCAAGACCCTTCTCAAGACCCTCCTCTTTGACCATACTTTCAATCACCCTGCTTCCCCCCCGCCTTCCACCCTCCCTGATCCCGACCCCCAACTCGGGTCCGAAACTCTGTCTGTCCATTGCCTTGGGACATCCTGCCAACATGAAATCTATTTTGTTGTTTGTGATGAACATGTCTAGCTTTGAATCCCAACCAGGAAACACATTTATTTGGACCCATTGGTGCATGTAGGTGAAACATCAAACGGGGGAAGAGCAATGGGGGTTGGAAATGGGGAAGAACAATGGGGGTTGGAAACAAATGGAACTGTATAAACCTGCAATAGCATCAAACCCAAACCAGATGCCCAAGCACAGATGGCAGAAAACTGGCCTGACAGTTCACCATCAACTATGGCTCGAGCATCCCCACAGCTACCGCCGTTCCTTGATAGGTGCAAAAACGGCCTTCTACTTCAACACCATCTTGGAGGCAAAAAACAATCCCAAAGTCCTTTTTTCCACCACCCACTACCTCCTCCGTGCACCCCCTCAGGCCTCCTCCATCTTCACATCTATTGCCAAGTTCGAGGAGATCATGGACTTCTTTTCAACAAAAATATATATCCACCAGGCAACCTCATCCTCCTGCCTCTTGTCACCCACCACCACCCCCTTTCCGTCCCCCTCACCCTCCCCATCATCAGCTCCTGTCATGACCGTCCTTGGCCCCCTTCTCTTCCTAATCTATATGCTCTCTCTTGGGGATGTCATCCGCAGACATGGCGTACACTTCCACATGTATATGGATGATATCCAACTCTATTTTTCCACTTCACTTTGCGACCCCCAGTCCCCTGATGTTCTGTCAGCCTGCCTGTCAGACCTCAGGAGCTGGATTAGCGCAAATTTCCTTCAGCTAAATGTTGACAAGACAGAAGCCATACTCTCACCTCCTCCACCTACCCAATCTCCCCCCAAAACTCTCCGAACAGTTACGTCACCTAGGCGTCAACAACCACAACAACATTTCATTTATAGAGCACCTTTTACGTTGTGAGGACATCCCAAAGCGTTGAACAGTCAGGTGTCAGGGCCCGAGCATAGGGGAGGGATGGTATAGGGGTGAGAGAAGGCAGAGGTGGGAGGGAGACCAAAGGCACGGTCGAAGAGAAGGGTCTTGAGACCGGCCTTGAAGGAGATAAGGGAGGAGGCGAGGCGAAGGGACTGTGGGATGGAGTTTCCAGAGTGTGGGGGCAGAGAGGCTGAAAGCCCGGCCACCAATGAAGCCCGATGAACGGAGGGAGCGGGCAGGTAGGTAGGGAGTCAGCAGGTCAGAGAGGTACGCGGGTGCCTGGCCTTGGATGGCCTTAAAGGTGAGGATGAGGATCTTGAACTCGATCCTCTGGGGGATGGGGAGCCAGTGGAGTCGGGCGAGGGTGGAACTGATGGGGTCACAGAGCCTGGTGCGTGAGAGTGCACTAGCTGCAGTTTTGGATGAACTGCAGCTTGTGAAGGGAAGAGTTGGGAAGGCCGATGAGGAGGGAGTTCCCATAATCAAGCTTTGAGGTGACGAATGCAGGGGTAAGGGTTTCGGCAGCCTGAGGGGTGAGGCAGTGGCAGAGTCTGGCAATGTTGCGGAGGTGGTGGTAGGCAGTGCCGGTCATGGCACGGATGTGGGGGAGAAAGGACAATTCAGGGTCAAACAAGACACCCAGATTCCTGACTGGCTTAGTGAGGTTCAGTGTGCAGCCATGGAAGCTGATGCTGCCAGTGCCTGAAGTTCAACCCCCAATTATCCTTCCTCCCCCACATCTGGTCCCTCACCAGCACCACTTTCTACTACCTCTGACGCACCGCCCATCTCCGCCAATACCTCTCCCCAAATGCCGCCGAAACCCTGGTCTATGCCTTTGTCACCTCAGCTGGACTATTCAAATCCCCTCATCGCCAGTCTCCCCTCTACTACCATTTATAAAATCTGGGTCTTCCAGAACTCTGCTGCCAGCATTCTTACCCACACCAAACTCCACTCCCCAATTACCCCAGTCCTTGCCAGACTGCACTGGCTGCCTGTCCCAGAGAGAATAAACCTCAAGATCCTCACTCGTCTTCAAATCCCTCCACTCCTCTGCCCCCCCTACCTCTCTGACCTCCTCTCTCCTCACAACAGTGCCCATTTGCTTTCGCTCCACTCGGTCTGGCCTCCTCCTTGTCCCCCAAATCCCCCGCTCCACCATCGGCAGCCGTGCCTTCAGCCACTATGCCCTGACGCCCTGGAACTCCCTTCCTCACCCCCTCTCTTCCAATTTTCAGATCTCAGCTGAAGACCTTTTTCGACCGCGTCTTTGGTCACTTTCTTTCCCCTCCCCTTGGCTCGGCCCTGGGATCCATTACTGTGAAGCACTCTGAGACGCCATCCCGAATGGAGTGCACTTTATAAATCCAAGTTGTTTTTGTAACGATAAAGAACTTGGGCTCTGAGTTTATTGAATTGCCTACTCTTGGAAAACAAAATCAGTCATAAGTAATTTTTTTCTCCTTTACTCAGCAGGTTCCTGGTACCAGTTAAGAGCAGCTTGAGGTTGTGATAGGGGCAGCGAAGTTGGGTGCGTGTTCTGGAAGGAAGAGATTGGATGGGCTGAAGGAATTTCTTTATCCAGTTCCATTGATAGGGAATCGCACTGAAGCAGCATAAATCTTTCAGGGAAGTTTGTGTGTTAATAGGGTGGTTATTACTGTAGCTAATTGTGTAGACTATTATATTATAGATCAGATGCATTATCTTAACTGTAGACTGTACACATTACTTTCAAACCATGTGAAGGTGGTTAACATCAAAGCAAACATCCATTTTCAGAGCAATTCTTTATTAATATTACAATACAAGTTGGGTGTTCAGACTGAAACATCAACCTCCTTAATCCTCAACAGTGCAAAAAAGCAAACCTAAATTTGCCAAGTACCAGGTGTCTCATTTACAAGTAAGTCATGTTGAAAAAAATAATGGGATTAGCATGTGTTCTAACAGTGGGTTTACAAACAATATATTTATGCACCTCTAGAACACAAGCTTGGTGGAATACATTTTTCCTCCAAAAAATCCATCAATTTACAACTCTAGGCAAGCTTCAAGACTTCTTTCACCATCTCCCCAATGCCATCAAAAATTTCATGAATCGGGGCTTTGCACATGAAGGCGCTGGTGGTCACCAACTTATTTGCCTTGTCTACATGGGCTTCATGAACATGCTTGTTGATGTGTTTGCAGCCCAGTTCTTTCATTGAGTGAGCGGTCTTAGCAAAGGGCCACCTGGACAAGAGAGAGACAATAATTAGTTAAACTGCCAGGAGGGATGGGTGGGCAAAAATAGCGACAAAATGTTTCTATAAAAAACACTTGCACAAATTGTGAAGCGCCACTATACTGCATGATGGTTATTTTCCATTACAACATTACAGGCCAAATCCAGAATTTCTTTTTCCATGCAAGCAAAACAATAAATAAAATTGTTTTCCATCCCCCCTCCCCAAATAACCTTCAATCCTGTCCTTAACATGTTAAACTAGCTTTCTTAAATAAATAGGAGCACATTTTAAAGCACTAAACTATTTTCCTTCCAAGATCCTCAAACTTGGTAACTGTGTTTAAGACAGTTTACAGATACCTCCTTTCATTCTTCAAAAATAATGCCCTTAAAACTTATGAACAAGGCATTTCCAGCCCCAGCTGCTGATTCAGTTAGCTGTGAGATCTAGGTGTGCACTGAACCCAGGTTCACTAATCTTATTCTGCACTTTCTGGAGGAAGAATTCTTCACACACACACTTGTCTGACAGAATTTCACTTTGCATTAACTATAAATATAAATAGACTCAATCCAGCATCCCACTGCTTTGACAGTTTGCTATTCCAAATAATGTAGGTCTGAGATAATGAAGTTGTTGTTAACAGCATTTTACCCACGAATAGTTACGATAAAAACTGAACACTAGCAGCTTTCGATAGAAGAGCTCAAGCTGGTCAGAAAACCTGTTGAAATAACCACAATGTGCTTCTAGAGAGGTGAATAAGAGACAAACATTCACTTGGCAAGCCTTCAACCTGCTCCTACTCACATTTCACATTCTGTGTCCTGGCCCACAGTCAGCTCGCAGCCAGGGATGAGCTTAGCCGCCAGCACTGGAGAGATGCAGCACAAGCCGATGGGTTTCTTTGTGGCGTGAAATTTCTTCATAGCAATTTCCACCGATGTCTCCACGGTGCAGTCTTTCCCTTTGGTTGCCCAGCTGCTGAGATTCTTAGCAACCCCAAACCCACCTGCACACAGGGATTAAATGCTTATTAGCATTGCACCACAGGTGTTGTTTACGACAACACTGAGCCCAAGAAATTCTACCTTGCCTTAGCCTGTATTTTCACCCACAAAATAGTGTTGATTCACTTCACAGTATATTCTGTGAAGCGCTTTGAGACATCTCAAAGACATGATAAGGCACTATAACAAATGCAAGGATTGTTATTGTATTACATTATCATATGTTTGCTTGGTCTTAATTTTTTTTAAATATCATGCAGAATTGTAGAAAATTCACAAATTCGGTTTTACTTTGGAAACCAGGCCTTTTAAGAACTGTGGATGGAAAAAAACAGTTCCAAATCGAGACTGAATTTATAATAATAAAATGTAATAATGGGAAGTTCACACAATTTTTAAATTAAGGCAAAATGTACATTACAGGCTAAAAGGGGCTGAAATCATAAATCATAGTGTAAAAGGTATAAAAAAGATTATGGGTCAGATTATGACAGAGCCCTCTGTGTCTAGGGCTATGGCACTCGTGCTACAATATACAGAGAGATATTCTGTATACTGTAAACATACCATGCTTGATATCTGGCAATAATTTTTCTTGCAAGAGTTTTTTTAATTATTTGGAAAATTAAACTTATTTCTTCTCTGCTCCCCCCCACCTCACCACACACACGCACACCACACACAAGATCTAGGCCTTTATGCACTACTGCATAAATGCTTTCACCCAAAACTTTGTAACTCTCTCCCCCAATCCCTTCCACCTTGCCCCCTCTTCTAGATCACGAATGAAGACCTTCCATGGACTGTGCTTATGGTCACCCCCACACCCCTTCCCCCCCACCACACCCAGCTTAGCATCAGGCTCAGGCCACTGTTAAGTGCTCCAAGACTCTGCCCTTCATCAAAGGCACTGTACAAATGCAAGTTGTCCTTGTAAAATGATTCTGGCGTGCAACTGATTTAAATAAAGATAACCCAACACAATCCCATTCCCAGATCTTACCTGGGACAATGAGGGCATCCATCTCATTGACACAGAGCAGGGTCAGGTCCTTGATATCACCCCGGGCAATGCGAGCGCTCTCGACCAGCACATTGCGCTTATCTTCGGTCGGTTGGCCGCTGACGTGATCCACAACGTGCATTTGCTGCACATTGGGGGCAAAGAACTGAACCTAGGATCAAAGAGAGAGAGAGACAGGAGAGAGAGAGAAAATCAGGGTGGGCTTAAAGTGGTGAATTTCACTGGCATTTCCCTAAATAGGTGCAATCCACACCCCGCTAGACACAGACAACACCCCCCACCCCACCCACCCCACACCCATACACACACACACACACACACCCCATACACACACACAGGGGTTTACAGGACTGGTTCAAAAAGGAAATTGGATATTGACTTGAAAAAAGAAAAAAAAAGAAACAATTGCAAGGCTTAGGCTGGAGAGAGACTGACAGAGGACTCTTTCAAACAGGGAATGTCTTTGTCTGGTGTCTGATGACCTGCTCCTGTGTCTGTATGGTTGCATGACTCAAGGCTTGACATGACATGACATGACATGACAGACTGAAGCCCAAAATAATCTGAACCCGGAAGCAGCACAGAATGCAGGAAACAGGCAATGCAAGAGTGAAAGGGAAGCAGCTTCATTCAATTGCAAAAGAAAACTTTATATACATATATATATATATGTATATATATATTTAAAAAAAGGCTAAAATAAAAAAAAGCGCAGAAGGAAGCGAGTCGGGAAAGATGGTTGGCACATAAAAGCCACGTTGGGAAAAAAAAGTTAAGACCAGGTTTTAGTTTCTTGGGGGGTGTGGAGGGGGGGGTGGTGTGGAGGGGGTGGGGGTGGGGTGGAGGGGGGGGGTGATGTGGAGGGGGTGGGGGTGATGTGGAGGGGGTGGGGGTGATGTGGAGGGGGTGGTGTGGAGGGGGTGGGGGTGGGGTGGAGGGGGAGGGGGTGATGGTGGGGTGGGGGGAGGGGGTGGTGGTGTGGAGGGGGTGGTGGTGTGGAGGGGGTGATGGTGGTGGGGGGGGGGGGGGGGGGGATGGGGTAAGAAACCTTTTGCATGGCGTGGGTGTGGGAGCCAGGCTGCTGGAGTTAAAGGAGGGAGGGGGTGGTGGTGGTGGGGGGGGGGGTGGGGGGTGGTGGTGGTGGGGGGGGGGGTGGGGGGTGGTGGTGGGGGTGGTGGGGTGGAGGTGGGGGTGGTGGTGTGGAGGGGGTGGTGGTGGTGGTGGGGGGGTGGTGGTGGGGGGGTGATGGGGGTGGTGGGGTGGTGGGGTGGAGGGGTGGTGGGGGGGGGGTGGTGGTGGTGGTGTGGAGGGGGTGGTGGTGTGGAGGGGTTGGGGGTGGGGTGGAGGGGGTGATGGTGGGGTGGGGGGGTGTGGAGGGGGTGGTGGTGTGGAGGGGGTGGGGGGTGGTGGTGTGGAGGGGGTGGTGGTGTGGAGGGGGGGGGGGGTGGTGGTGGTGTGGTGGTGGGGTGGTGGGGGTGGTGTGGAGGGGGTGGTGGTGGTGGTGGGGGTGGTGGTGGGGTGGAGGGGGTGGTGGTGGGGGGTGGTGGGGGGTGGTGGGGTGGTGGGGGGTGGGGGTGGTGGTGTGGGGGTGGGGGGGGGGTCCAAGGTTAAGCTCAGGCTGTGAAGGGTTACCTCTGCTCCAGCTCTGCTCAGATGGACCATCACCGCTGAGCACTCGTGTACTTCACTGCCATCGTACACCCCACAGCCGGACAGGATAACAGCCACTCGCTTCTTCACCATGACTCACACTGCCAGAGAGAGAGAGGGAGAGAGAGGACTACTGCTGTACACTGTCAAACCTGTGGGTGCTCACACCCTCGCGCCTTTGCTATTTATATGGTCAGGAAGAGGAGGGACAGGAGGAGGAGGAGGAGGGAGTAGCTACTGAAACTGACATCGCCTCCTCCCAAACCCCCCAAAGCAACCCTCCCCTGGACAGGCGCCAGGGACTTTCCAGCCTCTCAAGGTCACGTCTTACACTCAGGTGTTTACTGGCAATGAAGTGATAAATATTAATTCGTTTCATCTCCCCCCCCACTCCCAAACTCCTTCCCAACAAAATCCCCCCCCCCCCCACCCTTCGAAAACACTTGGCGGTATATTCCGTTGAAGCGCTTTGAGATGTCTCGACGACGTGATAAGGCGCGACATCAAACGCAAGGATTGTCGCTGTCAGATTTTTAGCGTTAGATAAAAAAGTCGTTTAATGGTCTGTCACTGAGAGGAAGTAGTAAAGAGCCCATGAGACAAATCCGTCTGTTTTTACTGCCTCTATGGCAACTCTGGTGCACATGTTCAGGAACAATGATTTGCTTTATTCGATGCTTTGCGTATTTGAAGAAATTGCTTAGTCATTATGAGTTTTGCTGCTGCTACATGTACATGAGTTATATGTTGGTCAGCCGGGTGCCTGACACGTGTAGAAATTCATCACATTTCCTATTATTAATAATAATCCTTACATTTTTGATATAGCGCCTTACCACATCGACAAGACATCTCAAATGTGCTTTTTAACGACTGTTTAAATGTATGTCCTGGTATGGTTTTTACATTAATTAGGGTGCCATACAACAGTTTCCAATGTCTCTGCTGTGAATTATTGAACATGTTTGCATCAATCATTTACTTGCATCAAAGGAACATTAACTTCTCAAGAAAATCCCTTGAGCATTTTTTTTGTCAAAATTGCACAATAATGAAACGTGTTAGAAGGCAGCTTTGTTCATTTGACTGCCCCTCCTAACAGAGGGTGGAAATTCAACTCAGGTTTCTATTTACTCTATAATTGCTGCGTTTCACAAGAACCAGAATTCATCAAATTCTTAAACCTGTTTTTAATTCTGAAGCTGATTTTCTTTAAGTGTATTTTCGAGGAAAAAAAGCACGACAAAAGAACTTGACTAATTGTGGCATCCAGAAGTTGCTACGTTCATAGAGTAGATTTAGATTGAAGCGCTCTGGGATGCTACCCTGTGTGAAGGGCATAATATAAGTGCAAGTTGTTGGTGGTGGTGGTGAAAATCCAGGTGGAATTGACAGATATGTTTTCCTCTGAACAGTTTTGGGTTGAAACATATCAAAGTTAAATAGCACCTACAGAGAGTATTTCAAGAACATCAATGTGGTGACAGCACTTTTTCCTATTGACGATGTTACATTCCAGTGTCATTGTGGTTTTTCCATCACCTGAAGACCATTAAACAGGTACAAAGATTGCTCAATCAAAATGTTTTGAAATACCACAATCCTCTCAACAAGGCAATCAGGGGTAAAACTTCAGTCTTTCCCTTTTATGGTTGTGGATTGAGTTACCAAATTATTATTATTTTAATTGAAGAATTGCCCGGAAAGCGATCCACCAATCAGCTAACTACCAGTTTCCTACTTATCTCTAGTAAACTGAGGCATGTGGAGTTAGGAAACTTGTTGAATAGTTCACCCTGCCCAGGAATTGAACCAAGGTCCTCTCGCTTGCGAGGCAGGACTCCACTCAAGGATCTCATCATCAAATCCAAACATTTCAGCGTTTGGACGAGCTGAGTTGTGGCTGCTCTTCATCTTTTCTTCAATTAAATAAAGGAAAAAGAAATGGTTAGAGTGACCAACAATGGCAAAATATCTCAAATGGTGGAAATTATTGTCTCACATAGTGGCTACTTTTAGAGGCAAACCAAGTGACCATTTTTCAGGCCCACAAAAGGGAAAGAACAATTTATCTGGAGGACCATTAACCAGAGCAGTAAGAGATACTCCCACCTTAAGATAAGTTGAATTTTCAACCGAAGGCATAGTTGAAGATGAAGGTCCTCAGATGGGACTTGAAGGAGGCAAGAGGTGAGGCGGAGGGATTGTGGGAGCAGAGATGCTGAATGCCCAACTGCCAATGGTGGTGCAGGAAGTGCGTGGGATCTGAAGAAAGCCAGTGTCCACCAAGGAAATGGAGAGGACACGCTGATATGGGATTATGAGGTTGGAGAGGTAGGGGGCAGCAAGACCGTGGAGAGCCTTGAAGGTGAGAATGAGGGTTTTGTACTCGATTCTCTGAGGAATGGGGAGCCAGTGAAGCCGGGCAAGAAAGGGGGTGATAGGTTCTCAGAGCCTGGTGCGGGAGAGTACATGAGCTGCAGAGTTCTAAATAATCTGCAACTTGTGGAGGGAAGAGTCGGGAAGTCCAGTGAGCAGGCATTTGGCGTAGTCAAGCAAGGATGTATTGAAAGCGTGGATCAGTGTCTCAGCGGCCTGCAGTGAGAGGCAGCAGTGATGGCGGGCAATGTTGTGGAGGTGTAGAAAGGCGGAACGGGTCACAACACGAATGTGGGGTTTGAAGGATAGCTGAGAGTCGAAAAGGACACAGGTTTCCGATTGGTGAGGTGAATAGTGCAGCCATGAACGGTTATTGCGTCAGCAGCTGAGGTGTGGAGGCGCTGCCGGGATGCAAGCAGAATGCGCTATGTCTTGCCAAAATTGAGCTGGAGGAAGTCGGCCCTTATCCCGGATTTGGTGTCAGTCCTGCATCACATCATGGAACAAAAAACAATGGACATGTGGTAATGTAATCAAATTACACCTTCTATCAGGACACATGCATGTCAGTGGGGCTGGGAAGGCTAACTGGAAGTGGTATAATAATAATAATCCTTGCATTTGATATAGCACGTCGGGAGGACGTCCCAAAGCGCTTCACAGAATATACTGTAAGGTGAATTGACTGTATATTTGTGGGCGAACGCGGCAGCCAATTGCGCACAGCAATGTCCCACAAACAGTCATGGATTGAAAATGACCAATTTATTGTTTTGTTTTTTTTGGAGGGATTATTATTAGGCGTGTGGACTAAGGAAACTTGCCCAAGGTTTCGCACTGCCTGCAATTGACCTCCGATTAATAATAATAATCCTTGCATTTGATATAGCGCTCTTCACGTCGGGAGGACGTCCCAAAGCGCTTCACAGAACACACTGTAAAGTGAATTGACTGTATATTTGTGGGATCCGAAACTGTAAAGCGCTCTGAGACGCCGTCCAGCGTGGAGGGCGCTATAAATCCAAGTTGTTGTTGTTGATACAGTCATACACAATAAAGATCAAACAACAAACAATTTGCCAGGCATAGAAAGTTGCACGTATAGCTTTAAACTATAGTTAAAATATTAAAGTACAAGTTATGTGGTACATTAAGTACCACTTAAGAATGTTAATTTTGTTGAGAAGTGCTTATGATCTGATAATAGTGTTATTCTGATAATTTGCTATTTCTTCATGTCGCCCACAAAATATAGTCAATTCACTTTACAGTATATTCTGTGAGGCACTTTGAAACGTTTAAAAAGATGTGACAAAACGCTATAACAAATGTAAGGATTATTATTATGTCCTGTTAGTGAGATTGACTGTTTCACCCTCTCCTGATGTATGTTATTTATATGTTATTGAGAGGCCAGTGGCGATCAGAAACAAAAGAAAAAACATAGAGGGATATAAGGCCAACTGATCACTCCGCCAGACAATACAAACAGAAACCCCCATCCAATCCTGCTTTCACCATCTCTTACCCACTCGATCCACCACCCTGTCCTGCCATTCACCTATCCACTCATTTCCCACTCCATCCTTTTGTTCCCTCACCCACTTTATCTACTCAAGGAAAGCTCTTCACTGATCTCCAAACATAATGGAGTATTGTATTGCCCCCTTCTCTGCCATATCAATTGAGCTTGTTTTTCTGGATATGGGACAAAGGCGGGTAATGGGAGTTGAGGTAGCCATGATCTTATAGAATGCCGAGACAGGCGCGAAGGGTTGAATTACAAGCGCCTGTTCGTATGTTCCTATGCACCAATTAAACTCTGCAGCAGTCAAATTATTCATATTAATAACAAAATGCAAGGAAATGTGAAATGCAAGGATTATTAAAAGTATGAATGCAGACAAGCCACCCAACAGGGAATGCTTAGACACTGAATGCATTCATTCATCTTTTATTATGGGATGAATTACGAATGAGTCACCCCGACAGTAAATGCCAAAGACTCTGCTCTTATTCCTGCAAAAGACACCACCGTGTGGATTCTACTGGGAAGCGACGCTACACTTCACTCCACTTGCTTACAGGCTGCTCTGTGCCTGTCTGGCTCTCCCCCGAGACCGGTGACAGATGAGGGGTTCCTTTTGTGTAAGCCCCCAAGACGAATGATGTGAAAGATGCTTCAGGCCCGTTTCTGGGGTATCAGTTTAATAACCTGTTCTGTCTGGTTGCAGCTTTGAGATACTGATCTTTTGGAGTCCAGTGCCTCTGAATAACATTACCCACTGGCTGGCACGTCGAGCCCATCCGTTTGTTATTTCATTTGCAGCCTGTAATGGGAGAAGTGAAATGTATCCTGTGTTTTTTGGTGTTGAGCCCGTGCAACGAAAATAGTATTACTTTCCACCCCTGGCTTCGCCGGGTTTGGAAAAGCTTTGTCTCTGCCAAAGAAAGCGTGTCTTAAGAGAAATAGCTGCACTGTCTGATCTGCCCAACTCAAATCTAATACAGCAGTAACTTTACCCTTCCGTCATCGCTGGTCCTCACAAGTAATCACTGTTACGCCAAATTTCCTGTCACTTAAACGATCTTTCTGCCCCGATAGCCTGGCCTAATTCGGGAACAAAAAAATTGTCTCCCGATTTCTCTAATGTTGGGGCTTTTGTTTTCGTTAATAACCGTTAATGAGAGGTTCCCAGGAAAACCGCAGCTCCAGGAATACCGCACCAGCCCAGCGGTCTCCAACAAACCCTCGTGTGTTATCTATCCTCTCGGGTTACAATCAATAGATTGTAACGCAGGATTTGTTTGGCGTTTATCAATCGTCAGATTGCCGGGGAGCTTCCGAACGCCTTGATACAAAAATATACAATAATAATAATAATAATAATATAACAGGTATATGACAATAAAGGTAATATGCTTTTAAACACTTTAAACGTTTGGAAAAAAAATGAAACACACAGCAACACGATGTGATCGCTGGTTACATCACGATTGGGGCGTAGAAAGCAAACTATTTACTGCTTTCTCAATCGATTCGGATTTGCATAGTTATGAGGAGGAAACGATTTCCTGATTGGGCGATCTTTAATATATATATACAGTGCAGTCAGGAGACGGACACTCTGAGCTGCTGTGAAGTTACAGTGGTGATACATTTCTGGTGGTGGGAACTCTCTCGTTTGCCCTAAAACTTCACTCCCAAAAAAAGTTTCTGCTTTGCGTTTGCAAAACTTTGGGAGGTGGTCTCCCTTTTTTTTTCTGAGAAGGTTTTTGTCTTCCTTTCCTTTCGAAAAAAAAAAGTTTAGGAAAAAGGAAGGAAAAGGGGGGGAAAAAAAAGGGATTTTTGTGGTTTAGAGGGGAAAAAAAAGTTCGTTCTTTTAAAGGGTGGGGGTTGGGTTGAGGGGGGGGGTGGGGGGTTGTTTTTAATAAAGGGGGGAAATAAATTTGTAAGACGCAGAGATGTTGGGGGGTCGCGAAGTGACTGAGACCTTACACTACTCAGTGGGGCTCCTTGGAATCTCTGCAGGTGAGAGGCATACGATCACCGATGGCTTATTTTAAGACGGAAAATTATTTTTATATCTGTGGAAAATATATATGCATATATATATATATGTATATATATATATGTATATATATATATATATATATATATATATATATGTATATATATATATATATATGTATATATATATATATGCATATATATTTTCCACAGATATAAAAATAATTTTCCGTGTATTTATATATATATATGTGTGTGTGTGTGTGTGTATGTATTTCAATCGTCACTTTGCTTTATTTCAGGGTCCCTGTTGTTGGCTGTGCAGCATTACAGCACTGCCCTGATCTCCAGCTCCAGTCTGGGCATTTTACTGCTCATCACAGCGGCTCTGTTGGCTTATGTCGGTCAGTACACCATCGGCTCAGAATGGGGAGACAGAGAGAGAGAGAGAGAGAGAAAGGGGGGAATTGTTTTAAATGCTTTTTCTTTTTTTTAAAATTTTTTTCAAATTTTTTTTAAAAAAAATTTTTTTAATTTTTTAAAATTTTTTTTTACAAATTTTTAAAAAAAAAAGAAATCTCAATAGTCCGCGGGATTGTGCTGTTGTGTCGCTGAGCAAAGCCGCACTGATCGACGTGGTTTTTTTTTTCTTTTTTTTGCTGCGTTTTTTTTTGTTTCCCTGCTCAGGACAGGGGTAAACACACCCCAGGACGAGCACAGTTTAACGTTGCAGATAAATAAACAAGTAATAATGATAATTATTAATTATTGTTGTGAACAAGTCCGCGTGAAACGCAACGCGCGATCGCGTTAAAGCGTGAAAACGTTTCGAAAACGGTGATAGAAAATGAGCGTTGAGCGCGTTTTACTTGTGTGGGTATTGAATAATAATAATGATAATAATAATAATCCTTGCATTTGATATAGCGCTTTTCACGTCGGGAGGACGTCCCGAAGCGCTTCACAGAACACACTGTAAAGTGAATTGCAGGAGTCCTGTAGCTCAGTGGTTAGAGCACTCGCTTTGCAAGCGAGAGACCTGAGTTCAATTCCAGGCAGAGGGCGAAACCTTGGGCAAGTTTCCTTACTCCACACAGAGCCTAATAATAATCCCTCCAAAACAAAACAATAATAAATTGGTCATTTTCAATCTACGATTGTGTGTGGGACATTGCTGTGCGCAATTGGCTGCCGCGTTCGCCCACAAATATAGTCAATTCACTTTACAGTATATTCTGTGAAGCGCTTTGGGACGTCCTCCCGACGTGAAAAGCGCTATATCAAATGCAAGGATTATTAATATTATTGACTGTATATTTGTGGGCGAACGCGGCAGCCAATTGCGCACAGCAATGAAGGCAGAGACAGACACAGACAGACAGGGTGTGTGTGTGTGACACGTTATGTGTTGCTGGGAAAGCTGGTGATAAGGTTGTTTGTACAGGTTTGGTACAAGTGAAAGTAACTGCACTCACCAGCAATTACCGACAGACAGACTGAACACAGCCCTATAATCTCCAATGTAAACAGGTGGCTGTGGTCTGTTGCCAAGTTTGTTGCCACACTTTTCCTGGATAGCTGGCGGGTTGACTGAAGTATGAAGCGCAGATATGATCAGTGTGTGTGTGTGAGTGCAATGTGGCCCGGATTTGTTTCTCTTTTGCTGCGCACCCGCGAAACATAGTCAAAACCACTTTGCGGTGTGGTTTACCGTGTGAAGCCCGTTGGGCTGACTTGGCGCTACGTCAAATGCGAGGATTATTACCGTTGTAGCAGATCCGTTTAAGGTTCAGTGGGCGATGTAATGAGACCTGTTTAATGCCCAGGCGGTGAAGTGCCCATCCGCAACCATTATTATTATTATTATTAAAACATGGTCAGAACCGTTTGGCCGTGTATCCCGTGAAGCGCTTTGAGACGTCTCGATGACGCGATGAGGCGCTCCCTTTATATATATATATAAAAACACAAGGATTACTATTAAATTTGCTGACAACACTGGTTGCGGGTGCGGTACGCGTCGGGCGTGAAACTCCTTCCCTCGTTTGTTGCCGCTATGGACGACAGTAAACAATAAATCCTTTCGTAAAGGGCGACACAGCGCCCCGTCGCGTCTTCCGAGGCGTCTCAAGAGCGCTTCGCCGAACCTTATAACGTGACGGATAGTAACCCTGGCATCCGCCGCGGCGCTTTTCACGTCTTCTCGACGTCTCAGAGTGCTTGGCGGAACAGACCGCAAAGCGGACCGATCGTCTATTTCTTTTTGGTGGGGGGGGGGTGCGAAACGCGGGAGCCGAGCCGATCGCGCGCCGGCGGCGTCCCGTCCCCCCCAACCCCCCCCACCCCCCGCGCAAAACCGTCGTGGATTGAAGCGGATTACTGCTGGGTCTTGGGGGGGGGGTTATTACTGTCAAAAGTGAGGTGTAGTGACTGTGTTTTGTGCTCTCTCTCTCTCCCTCCCTCCCTCCCTCCCTCCCTCCTCTCCCTCTCTCTCTCTCCTCTGCAGGCGTCAGGAAGAGCCGAGCCTCGCTCTTCGCCAACCTGTGCCTGACGCTGTCGGCGCTGTGGTGCGGCTCCGGCCTCGTCCACCTCCTGGTCGGGCAGCGGGTGGTGGCGGGCGAGGCCGCGGTCCGGGATGCGCTGGTGCCGGGCCTGCTGGCCAGCGCGCTCGGGCTGCTGCTGCTGGCGGCGGCCTCGCTGCTGGCGGGCCGGGCCGTGCTGTCCGGCCTGTGCCTGGCCCTGGCCCTGGCCCTGGCCCACCGCGTCGCCTCGCTCTACCGCCCGGCCTTCGGGGGCTCGGCGGCGGCCGCCTGCTACCTGATCGCCGCCTGCCTGGGCCTGTACGCCGCGCTGAGCCGGGGCCTCAAGCCGAGGCCGGGCGGCGGCGGGGGCGGCGGCGGGGTGAAGCCGGAGAGCGGCGAGTCCCCGGCGCTGGCCTCGGGCCACCTGCTGAACGTGCTGTCGGCCGCCGTGTTCGGCTGCCGGGTGCTGGGCATCACCTCGGCCCTGTCTGTCGGGCAGGTGCCGTGGCTGTGGACCGCGGCCGCCCTGCAGCTCGGCCTCTGCGTCATGGCGTTCCGGGCCGCCGACCCGCTGTGGGCCGCGGTGCTCGGGCTGACGGCGACCCTCAAGGCGGCGGAGGGCTACTCGCTGCTGCTGCCCGCGGTCTGGCCCGAGGCGGCGGCGGCGGCCTCGGCCTCGGGCACGGGGCTCCTCACCTCCCCGGCCTCCGCCCTCGCCCTCCTGGCCGCCCTCTTCCTGGCCCTGGCCCTGCTCACCGCCGCCCTCCGCGGCCCGCTCCAGGCCGCCGGCCCGCTCTCCTTCGTGGCCTACAGCCTGGCGGTGGCCGCGGCCCGGCCGGCCAGCGGCTTCCTGCACGGCGGGCCTCAGGGCACCAGCCTGGCCGTGCTGCTGGTGGCCGCCTGCCTGGCCCTCGTCCACCTGTGGCCCGGCGGCTTCCCCGCCCGCCTGACCGGGGCCCGGGCCTCGGGCCGGCTGGTGGCCGCCCTGAGCGGCCTGAAGCTCCGGCGGCCAGAGGACTCGCGCGCCCCGCGCCTGGGCTACGCCCGCTACTCGGAGGCCGAGAGCCTGGCCCACGCCTGCAGCGCCCTGGCCGCCTTTGCCCTGGTCTCGCCCGGCATCGTCGGCGTCTCGGCCGCGGGGCCCCTGACTCTGCCCTGGGTGGTCGTGCCCGGAGGTGCGGTCCAGCTCCTGTGCGGCTCCATCGCCTTCTCCCGGGGCAAGACCCTGGAGAGCTCGGCCTTCGTCCTGTACGGCGCCATGTGGGTCGTGTGGGGTCTGACCAGGTTCGGGGGTCTGTACGGCACGGCCCGAGGCTTCCGGGTCTCGCTGGGCATCGTCTGCTTCCTGCTGTCCAACTGCTTCGTGGTGGTGGGCGCCGTCTTCCTCAACAAGATGTGGTTGGCCTTCTCGCTCGCCTTCCAGTTGGTGCTGATCAGCTTCCTCCTGGACGCCGTGGGCGCCAACCCGTACGGGTACGACGTGGGCGTCGGGGTCGTCTTCGGGCTGGTCAGCTTCTACTGCTTCCTCGCCACGCTCTTCAACCAGAGCTTCGAGAGCCCCCGGATGCCGGTGGGCAGCCCCCTGGTCAAGCTGAGCGGCTACCGGCAGCCCGGCTCCGAGTGCCCCCACCTGCAGTCGAGAAAGGCCTCTTCGGTGGCACAAATCGCGGGTGAGACGACGATGATGACGATGATAGAAATAAGAATAATAATCCTTGCGTTCGATGTAGCGCCGTCTCACGTCTTTCTCGACGTCTCGAAGCGCCTTTCGCAGAACGCGCCGCGAAGCGAATCGACTGTACGTCTGCGGGCGAAACGCGGCAGCCAACTCGAAGGTAGGGAGTCGAAGAGGGGAAGAAGAAGAAAGAAAAAAGAGCGCGTGCGCTACCGTCAGCGCCCGCAAAATACACGCAGTCCGGGGCGGGCTGGCTGATTTGATGGGAAATTGGGAAATTTCCCGAGCAAGCGCACCCGCGATTCGCTCCAGAAGTTCTCTTTTTAAAGCCCCGACAAAAGTTTTTGAACACGCAGAGGTTTTATGCAGAATTGGCACCACACACGGACGACGGTGCCCTTATTTTAGCTGACAATCCTGAGCCCTTTTGGGATCACCGCTGCCTGACACCACTTTACAGTAAATCCTGTCAAAATCAAGCGGTGTGGGATGTCTGAAAAGTGTGCAAAGACACAATCTCGGATGCAAGGATTAGTATTATTTACCTTGGTAAATAAATAAACCTTGCATTTGATATTGCTTCTTAAGCCGTCGTCAAAATGCCTCAAAGCACTTGGCAGGATTGTACCATAAAGTAAGAGTGAGCTACCTTCTGTATGCATCGAATAATAATAACAATAATGCTTACATTTGATTTAACGCCGTTTTTGTCAGGAGGACGTCTCAAAGTGCTTTACGGGATATATTGTAAGGGTAGTGACTACTGTATATTTTTTTTGTGGCGGACATGACAGCCAATTTTGCACAAGCAAATACCTCACAAATAGCCGTAAAGCACATGACCAATTTTTGTTTATTTATCTCCTTTACTACACGCCCTTAAATTGGAAGTGGAGATTTATTATTCATCATGAAAACGTGGCCGTGACTTGTAACTCATTTTAATGTTACCATTGATGTTTCTTTGCAGAAATCATGAAGAACGGAGGTGCCTGTGGTATACCAACAGACACTGTGTACGTGCTGGTAGCAGCCTGCAACCGACCAGATGCTGTGGAAAAGGCTTACAAGTAGGTGCTGTTTTATTGTAACTTTATATTGTTATGACCAATCTATAGGTTTACCACCAGATTACTTTTTATTAGATTATTTCTTAGATATATACCACTGTTTTGGTAAACAAGAAAAGTCCTCCTTAACTAATCAGTTCTAAAACTACTCCTTACTACTTTAAAATAATAATATTCCTTGCATTTGATATAGCGCTTTATCACATCTTCAAGACGTCTCAAAGTGCTTCACAGTATATACTATAAAGTGTAGACTGTATATTTTTTGGGCAAAATGAAAGTGCAGATTCTCAATCACTCAGAGGATGGACCATTCTCATCAAACCCACTTCAACATCATGTTGCCACCTAGTGACAAGTGAAATGAAAGCCCTTATGCTAAGCTTTTCTATTTGGATGTTCTGATATTCCTTAAAAAAATCTGAATTGGCCAAAAGACTGCAGCAATTAAATAGTAACTTTTTTCTTCTATTTGTTCAGCACAAAGAAGCAAGCCAAAGAAAGACCAATGTCCTTATGGATCTCCAACTTATCACAGCTGGAACCAGCAAAACATCTGTTCAGCCCACTACTGTGGGACTTCATGCATACAGTCTGGCCGTCTTCAATCAGTTTGGTTATCCCAAGAGGTAAAGTGCCTTCAGTTTCTTTTTCATATCCCAACACTGTACATTGGTCTTTTTTTTATTTTAAAAAAAGTTACCAAATATCCTCTTCTCTTTCTATTACTATTATTTTATTATCATTTTAAAAAATTATCAATGAGTGGATAAGGCAAACAATACTCTGTTAAGAATTACAGTCATTGACAAGTTTTAATTCAATAAATCGATAGACAATTTAACAAATTCTCTTTTGTTTGAAAGGTCAATGGCTGGACTGCTTTGGACTGAAAAATGCTGCTAAATATATAGGAACGCCTCAAAGTATTGCCATTAGGATTCCGGACTGTGCTGTTACCACCCACCTCATTGACCAGGTCAGAGCTTCTCTCATTCTTTCCAAACACTGCTCCCATAAATGATGTCAGAAAATGCTTCAGAGAGAGCCTATTGTCAGTGACCTAAACCTCCACTTGATTCAGTGAGAAACTCCTGTTCTGCAATTTCAAGGTCAATTTGCGATCTCATTTTGTTGGCAATTTTTACAAATATTTTGCAGTCAGGTCTGATTGGATTTAAATAAGATTTAAACTGCAGTGATTCGGGTAATTATGTTACAAAAGAAATATTATTCAGAGGATGGGGCAAAGTATTAATTCAATATAAGACTTGTCTGTTAAATAACTAAAGGTTATTGAGTTGTAGAACATCTAATACTTCATTACGAAATGTCCCTGTGGGTCTGTTTCTACCTCTGTCTATATCCCATGTTATTTGTCATCGCTGGCCAAAAGCCAAGAGTGCTCCCATTGCTTCTACCATTGACAGAGAGGGAGCAACAGAGGCTCAGCGTAATACAACTTGCACTCTCTCCCTCCCTACCTGTGGGCTTCCGTTCATGGACAGAAACCTCTGCCCTTGCATTCTGTGACATAAGAGTAAAAGGCATTAACATTAGATGTTGCATCTCTACCTATTATTGGAGATCCATTGCACAGTTTGCTCAACATCGAAACCACCTTTAGTTGTTCAGAGAAATGGAATGGGGGATTAGTTTGGTGAACATCGCTGTAAGCGTCTGGTGTGTACTAACCAAGCTTGTTCTGGGCACATGCAGGTAGGGCCCATAGCAGTGACGTCAGCGAACCCGACAGGAGAAGCCGACACCACTCACCACAACCAAGTGTACTCCAAACTCGGAAACAAGGTAATGCACAGCCACTGACTCACACGTACCATTTCACTAAATTCTAACTACTTTCTTATGGGTTAGGGTGAGGGAGAAATTCATCTGAATTGTCTATTTATGGTGCAGGTGGATGGAGTACTGTGCGATGGCCCTTCACCTGAGAACATCGCCTCCACAGTGGTGGACTGCACCAAGATGGAATCCGGCACGCTAGGATTCTTTAGGGTTGGTCTTGTACCCAAGTCGGAGGTGAGTTTTATAATCAGGCTGCCGAGTCCCATTCAGTTTCTTACCAAAAGCTACTTAGATTTCTTTGCACTAGTCATATTTTATAAAGTAAATCATCTCCTAATTTGTACATTAAACTACTTTCTGAATGAAGTGTGCATTTATCTACTTACTGAGAAATCACTATTTTCTCTAAACAGGTCATAAAAAAAAATTAAGTTTCTTAATTCGTGGTCTTTTCATTGAAGTGAGAAATACTTTCCATCTTGTGTTTTAAATACTTTTGTGGGTAAAGATGCCACATCAGTCCTTGAGGGCTAAAGGCACAGTGTTTGATACTCGGAATTTACTGAGCATTTTACATCTCAACTCCAGGTCTTGCAGCTGTTTGAAAAAGTGCAGAAGAGGCATATGAATGGTCTCTCTAATGGCAGCTTCAGCCATCAACAGCCTGATCTTGACACCACCCCGCAACAACCACACAAACGCCACAGCCCCAACGCCACATATGAAAACCAAGCCTTCGCTGTAGAGGAATATGATGAAAAAATTTAATCGAGAGGCATTTATTTATTATATGTTTACAAATTGTCCGTTCTGTGTTGAACTCCATAGCTGTTGTGGGACATTGCTGTGCACAACTGGTTGCCCTGTTTCACCCACAATACACAGTCACTCCGCTTTACAGTATATCCTGAGAAGCACTTAGTGATGTCTCAATGACAACAATCAGGTAAAATGGAGATTTCTTCAGCCTTTGGTCGCATTCACCACACTGACCCAAATGGTATTCAATATTAAATTAGGCTGTGATAGTCACTGCATTTCACCTATTACGAAAAAGTGAAAGCTAGTGTGTGGTCTGACATTTTCTCATTATTGGAGATGAGATGTTGATTTGTGGGAAGAATTCTTTGCTCTGAACTCCTGGATCGCAAGCGGAGGAATAAGTCTTAGAGAATGAAGCCATGAACATGGTACGGAAACCAAAGTAAAATTGAACAAATGAAAGGTTCTAACTTGTCATATTTCATCATAGAGTGTAAATAATAATATGTTTTGTAATAAATAATATATGCACTTTTCTAGTCACAATAAATTGCTTTTTTTTAATTTACTTTGACTTAACTTTGATATGTATCTACTTGGACACCACCTGGAATGAGGATAATCCCCATTGTTAAAAGTAGTGAGCTATCAGCAATGATTAGACAAGATGGGGCTCTTCAGTCTTGAGAAAAGACATCTCAGAGGGGATATTGTATAATACAATACAAAATTATAGAGGCATATTGATGGAGTCCTGTAGCTCAGTGATTAGAGCACTTGCCTCGCAAGCAAGAGACCTGAGTTCGATTCCCAGCAGGGGAAACCTTGGGCAAGTTTCCTTACTCCACACGCCTGATAATAATCCCTCAAGAAAAAAATCAATAATAAGAAAATTGGTCATTTCAATTCACGACTATGGGACACTGCTGTGCGCAATTGGCTGCCACATTTCGCCCACAAATATACAGTCAATTCACTTTACAGTATATTCTGTGAAGCGCTTTGAGCTGTCTAGAAGACGTGAAAAGCCCTATATCAAAATGCAAGGATTATTATTATAAGATTATATATTATAGAAGTATATAACATTTTAAATGAGATTGAAAAGCAGACAAACTCAGAACGATACTTTTAAGATTCACCAAGATAGTAGGACAAGAAAGGGAAGCAAAGGACAATTTCAGGACAGACACGAGGAAGTTTTTGTCTACCCAGAGGATAATTGATGAGTGGAACAGGTTATCGGGAAGGGTGGTTGAGGCCACCATACTGGACCAATTTAAAAACACCCCTTGATGCTGTGATGGGAAGATGGTAAGATGGGTATTCTAGAAGTTCAAGATCAGATGGACCGAAAAGCCTTCTTCATCCAAACCAATCTTGTGATATATGTGGTTTGACGAAAGCCTGAATTTAATCAGCAACTAGAGAAACACTTGCAGAATAAAGATAATAAATAATAAAATGAATAATTCTTGCATTTGATGTAATGCATTCCCCGTGGGGGGAGGATGTCACAAAGTGCTTCTTAGGATTTATCATAAAATGTAATGACCTTTACAAAGCAAACGCTTTGAGATGTCTGGAGGTGAGATAAGGCATTATATCAAATGCAAGGATAATTATTAAATAGTTATGATCGAATGGTGATGACCTTGTTTCTCACTAAATCAGTTGCACTTTCTGTTTGTTCCTACCCTGACATTATAACAATTCATGCAACAAAATCTTGTAGTTCATTTGGCCGATCAAGTTCTACAGATCTATCAATCACAAAGGAACCACTTTAGGTTAAGTGGTGGATGCTCCCAAACATGATAGATGGTGCTCAAACACTGGTGCCGTCTCCTGGCCAATGTGGACTATTGTAGCCTTCCGTTTAAATAAAAAATGAAGAATAAAATCTTAAGCAAGTAAAGCGGCTATTCAGAATGCTACTGCTTCTTTCCTGGAGGATTGTTCCCATTTCAGATGAGACATTGAACCCAAGCCGCCATCTGCTTGTTCAAGTGGATGCTAAAGACCCCTTGGCTCTTACCTGATAAGTGGAGAGTTCGGACGAAGGGTCGTGGACCCCAAATGTTACTTTTCCCATAGATGTTGCCTGACTTGCTGAGTGTTCCCAGCGACTTCTGTTTTTGTTTTCAGATTTTCAGCATCTGCAGTATTTTGCATTTTATTAGCAATCCTTGTCTTTGATTCAGTGTCACGAGATTTTTAATGTCTGAGGAACCTCAGTTTAATACAATAATAATCCTTGCATTTAATATAGCGCCTTATCACATCTTCAAGACGCCTCAAAGTGCTTCACAGAATATACTGTAAAGTGAATTGACTGTATATTTTGTGGCCGATCTCAGCAACTCTGACAATGCAGTAATAAGACTGTCCTATGTGCCAATGTAGCTGGTAATATTTCTATTGAAGGGAACAACAACAAAATTACATTTGTCCAGCGCCTTTCACGTCGGGAAGACACTCCAAAACAGAGTAACACCTAGTTTGCTCTAGTTGCATATGTACATTTTTTTTATTTGTTAACATGATAAATTTGTTACACCCTATGAACATGCTGGACAAAATAAAACTTGCAATTAATTTTGTAAATTAAATAGGTGCATTTTTGCAAGTTGAAAATGAACACAAGGATCTCATTACAATACATTATTTGCCACCTGAACATGGTAACATCCTATCTCCACAAAATTAACATTATAAACAAAATTGCAAGTTGCATTTAATAAGGCAGTATGATTTTAAAATATACAAAAAATTAAATGTTACAATGACAGAAGATAACTAATATTAGGGGGGAATAAAAAGGTGAATTGTATAAAGAAGGATCGACATAGGTTTGTCAGAGGGCAGATAGTCTTTGAATGGAATGATTAAAGTAGAAATATTTTGGGTAATGGGGTTTTGCTAATTTGCAGGTTGTGCTAATCATGGGTAAACATGCAAAGAGAGAATTACATGTGTAGCATTTGAGGAAGCAGAACACAAAATTAGAAAACCTTGAATCAAACCATAGATTACATGGAATGAGATATACTTGAAAGCACGGAAATAGGACATTTGGCACAACTAGCCCGTGCCAGTGCACATGAGCCTCTACCCATCCTTCTCCCACACCTCCTCTATTCCCTTTTCCCTCATATATGCATCGAGTTTCTTTTTAAATGCATTCATGCTTTTTTCTTTGACCACGGTTTCTGGCAGTGAGGTCCACAGTCTCACCACAATTTCAAAAGATATTTCTCACCAATGTAGCCGATGTGTGAAATGAACTGCTTGCAATAGTAGTGAATTACTTCACTTTTTTTTTAAACAAAAATAAATTGCTGGAATATACGGTTACAACATGTATTGAAGGATATGAGATTAAGACAAGTAGAGGTGATCAAATCATCTACAGAACACAATCCAAGTGATCATCTTCATCTGTGGAATCCAACCATTCAAGACTGAGCAATGGAGGAAATGAGGGGTTGATAACTTGGAGCTTGTACTTAATGACAATTGCAGGAGGAAAGGAGAAAAATGCTACAGTTTTCTTTGAGGTTTCCCACGTGGTTATTCACTGCGATGAAAGACTGAAAACTGCACAGATGAAGCAGGTGTAATAGGCCAAATGGTCTGGTTTCGATCTGCAACCATTTCCTATTCATTGGGCTGATGTACCTTTCTGTAACTGGTCTTCGTTAAGGTCAACTTTGTGCAGTTTCGTTCACCAAAAAACAATTTTGGGGTCTTATTTGAATAATCAGAAAGCTTCTAAAGGCATTCAGGGCTTGAGAGAGTCATTAAAGTTGCACTTTGGGAAGTTAATAAAATAATTGATCTGTATTGATCAGTTTGTGGATTGAAACAAGCAGAACATAATGGACTGAGGAGGATCGAGGCAGTCAGAGTGCTGAAGGCTGGAGGCACAGCAGCCTCAATCACATTGTTCTGTCTTTTGCTGTTGAAGGGCTCTTTCCTCCTTGTGCAACAGGTATTCATCAACGAAGGAGAACAGCTCACCGGACGAGGCGGGCTGGATATACCGCTCCCTGTCTATGCCGTATTTGTCAATGAGGACCATGTTGAAGTACATGCTGGATAAGTAATGCACTTGCCTGCAAAGGCAACCAGAAAAGAGAATGGTTAGTGAGGTGGCAAAGCAACCTTTAGCACAGCGAATCAGTCCAGCCAGTTTTGTTAACGTAAAGAGCGGCGGAGGAAACAACTGACATGAAAAATTTGTATATTTTGTACAACAATGTATATTTATATAGGGCCCTGCACTAGGGGTAGCTCTCAGAGCTGAATGTAGTGATTGCTTTCCACTTTCTTCTCCACCGACCATTTGTTAGAACGCAATCCCACGAGCATTGTGAATCCTCCGTTCTCTCACCCAAGTGGCCATTCTTCATGTGCAAGTTTAGACAGCGAGTGAGAACACAGCCAAATCCAAACTTGACCCGGCATCATGCCTATGCCCACATAGTGATAACAGATTTTCTTTTTGTCTTGGTCAGCTGGGTGTCTGACACAAGCGGAAACCCATCACCATGCTTAAGGCCACCAGAGGCTTGAAATTCCACCCGGTCTTAGCCTGGGAGATCATTTGGTCTTTCAACCTAAGATTGTGCAAAACTAAGGAAATTCCTTAAGTTCAGTCTTAATTCTCAAAGTGCAAGACTGTAGGAAGTTTGAAACCCTGACAGGTTTCAATCCAGATGCCTTTAAAAGCCAGTGTGAACGCAGGGCCGCTCAGCCGCTTACCTGAGTTGATCAATAACATCTGAGGAGAGCTCCTGGTCATTCAGACGCCCCACGACTCGTGGTGGAGATCCCACCAATTCTATCAGTATTATATGTCTCAAGTCCAGACCACAGGTGGCTTGCTGCACAGACAGAAAAAACAGTGAAAGAGCGTTCCTTTTGTCACTGCACTTTATGATATATCATGTGAAGTGCTTTCAGCGCTGTATCGAATGCAAGGATTATTATTAAAGAAAAGTCATCCTGGGTTCCCAAGCCTGATCACTGTGTAGTGAGGCCTGCAGTGCAGGCGTGCCAGCTTTGTGGTTAAGGATAGGTCCCTGTGAGGCTTGGCTGTGATTTTTATCCTCCACCCAACTCTAGCCAAGGGTGGATACCGACTGAAATTCATCGAGGACTATTCCAGGCGGCTTGCTAAATAAAGCAATTGTTTCACTATAATTTTAAGGTTCACGTTATAAATAAGCTACAAATTTGCTGATGTTGAGCATAAAATAGACTCTGCTGATTCAAGTCACAAACAAACAATGGTTGAGATACAAAGGCCAAGGGTGCAGGGGAAAAATTAGAGTCAATTGCTTTCCGGAGATGTCAGTAAAAGCCTGTGCATTACTCATTCAGCACTGACTTTGTGTTTATTATTGCTAAGGACATTTTCTTGGCTTTGCTGCTGCCTGGAATACATCTAACCCCTTATTTATCCTAAAGCACTTGGCTGTGTGGGATCGAGAGTATAAAAGTGTCTGGCAAAACAGGGTGGGTGTTTGCAGAGACAGAGAGAGTGAAGAGCAAGAGAGAGAGAGCGAGAGAGAGAGTCATGCACTACATTGTGAAGAGTCTGTCCAGAGGGGATGCGACGACTGAATTTGATGTGATTTCCATTGTTTCAATGCCTGCAGTGAAAAAGCTCATCGAACACCATTCTTGCAGATACACCTCCTTTAATATGAAGTACAGAATCAACTGTCCTTCGCACCCAACAAGGATGCCATGACCATCCTTATTTGGGAGAATTGTCCTGGTCAACAATCCCCCAAATAAAATTGATTACTCGTTTCATGGCTGTTTGTGGGACATTGCTCTGCGCAATTATGCTGCCCCATTTTCCTATAAATACAGTCACTCCATTCCACAGTAAATCCTGTGAGGAGCTTTGAGACATCCTTCCAATATGATAAGGCGCTAAAACAAATGCAAGGATTATTATTATTAAAGGGACTTTCCCCTGGCAGCAACGCAGTGTGAAAGAGCCTGACTCACCCTTGTCGTATCACTGACCTGCAACATGTTGATTTGCAATCTGTAGTAGACATCTGATGGACTGGGAGAGGATATGATCAGGAGACGCTGTTTTTCATAGAACTGGTCCAAGAGAGCAGTCGCTGACGTCACTTCCGTGTTGATTTGAATGGCTGTCGTATCATACAAAACCCCAAGACATTAAGATGCAGGCTGGGTCCGGGGATTCTCAAGGAACCACAAAGCATGCAAAGGATGGCTGTTGGGTGACCCTTTGCTGTGTCGGAAATGTCACCTCACTGGCAGAACAGATGATCCACACCTTTAGACCTTCCCGCACCCGCTACTCAGACAACTCCAATGGGGCTCTGCAGTTCACACACACCCTCTCCCCACCTCCCCACCCCACTACCAAAAAAACAAGGGTCAATTTTGCAGTATTTCTTAATTAAGAAAACCCGAGCGGGGAATCCTTTCAATAAGGGGTAAGTGGAAGTACATCACCCACAATAGCCCCTGACTTGAGGGTGCAGAGTTCCCATTGACTGATGTAAACGATTAAGAAATCAATTCGAAAATTTCTCAGTATCAGCTCCAATTATTCACTGTGTGTTGTGCAACCCCACGCACATGTGTGTGTGTGTGTGTGTGCATGTGTGTGAAGTACATCACACACTGTACACTAACAAGAACAATCTTTATGTCACATCTTGGACTGATGGGCTGGAAACCTGACATCCTAGTGTCCACATAATCTGCACCAGTCAATTCAATGCCCCTTCACAGTTTGCACTAACCCTTGTATGTGCAATACCTAAATTTGAAGAGCCGTAGTGTAGTGGACAACACACATTTCCCACTAAGTAATGGGCGGCAACCATGGGCAGCATTCTCATGAGCTTCTTATTAAAGAGCAAAGGTGATTGAAGGAGAAATCCTCAGTTGCCGGATATAGTCAGCTATAGGATGTGATAATGCTCTGTGCTTTAGGCACCTGAAGTCTCCATTGGTCTTAGCCTTAAAGTTTAAGATAATGCAGAACTTTGAAAATTCTCCAATTCACTCATTGTCAAAGTTATCCATGAAGGTCACGTGAATAAGCAGGATATAGGATTCAAAAATGTCTTTCCAGAGAGAAGGAGTCCTTGAATCCTACATCCTGTAGTTCAGCAGTTAGAGCAGTGGTGGAATCCTGTAGCTCAGTGGTTAGAGCACTCGCCTTGCAAGTGAGAGACTTGGGTTCGATTCCCGGCAGGGTGAAACCTTGGCAAGTTTCCTTACTCCACATGGCTGATAATAATCCCTCAAAAAAAACAATAATAAATTGGTCACTTCAATCCATAACTGTTTGTGGGACACTGCTGTGCGCAATTGGCTGCCGCGTTCGCCCACAAAACATACAGTCAACTCACTTTACAGTATATTCTGTGAAGCGCTTTGAGACATCTAGAAGATGTGAAAAGCACTATATCAAATGCAAGGATTATAAGAACAGTGGTGAGGAAAAGGGTAGCATTGGATTATAGCAGTTGAAGTGCTGTGACATATTGAGTCACACTGGCTCATTTCCATTTGCCACCCAACCAAGGAATTTTGATGGGAGTGAACAGGAATAACAATTTCCACTGGTCAATGAGGTGATAAACCAGAGGAAGTCGATTTAAGATGATCATCAAAAATAGCAACAGGAGAGATTGGTTTTCATATACACGCAACAACAACAACTTGCATTTATATAGAACCCTCCATGCTGGGCGCACATACACACACACACACACACACATTCACTTGCATAGGGTTATTAGGAAGCAAAATCCATTGTAAAAGAGAATTGCACAATTTGAAAAATAATCTAAAAGGATATGAGGGAAAGGGCAGGGGAGTTGTAATCGATGGACAGCTCTTTGAGAAAGCCACACACGGGCACAGGGCACAACGAGTGAATGTCCTTCTTCTAATGTTGTGCGATTCTCTGATTACTGGAGCTTCAGAAACGTCTCGTAGTTTATTAAATCCAGGGAGCAAGCAGGTAGTGCCATGCTCCCAGGTTGCCTGGGTCTAATTAAATCCACTTACACACGCAGGACGGTCTGACTCCTGACCAGCTTCGATTAAACAGACACACCCGTTTAGGGACGCCTTGACGCTCATAGCCTCCGTCGCACAAGTACGAGCAAGTGGCGCCGTAGTTATTTCCATCAGAGGTGCACGTGATATAGCCGTGGAGAAGGGGCTTCAGGGTGGGACATCGCTTGACTGCAAAACAGGCAGAAACACAGAATCCAATTACACACCTTGGAGGGAAGGGGTTTACAGGGGAGCAGAGGCAACGCACACTGCAGATGCTGCACAGCAGGGAGGCAGAGTTATTACATGTATTAGACAGCCTATACAGATTTTTTNCCCCATAATCTATTCATCAGACACACTCCTTAAACTCAGAAACACTTTCAATTCAGAAGTCTCCAGTGCCCGAGGCTCCTTCCCACACTCGAGTCCACCTCATTCCAGTAATTATGGGTTCAGCAGGTCCCAAACCAACTTCTCCCTTATTGCCCCGTATTTAGGGGGTTAAAAAGGTGAAGAGAAGCCATTCAGTCTCTGTTCTCCGATGACCTACCATGAACTCTGATGGTGAACTTGCAGGAGGCCTTGTTCCTCTCTCTGTCGTAGGCCACGTACCGGATCAGGTGCTCGCCCTCCGTAAACTCAGACCCCGACCGCAGGCCCTTCAGAATCAACCTGGTTCAAGGAACAGCAGAGATCTGAGGCCAGGTTCATTGCATGTCAAGTAATAATAAATATAATAACAGTAATAATAAATAATATAATAATAAATAACTATAATAATCCTTGCATTTGATATCGGGCTTTATTGTGCCGTCAAAATGTCAGTGCAGACATCTGGTCTCTCGTCATGAAGGAAAATAATGACAATCATAATTGTCAGCGGGAGAATCCGGGTTTGATTCCCGGGCGGGTCAGGGAGAAACCTTAGGCAAATTTCCTTACCCCACATACCTCTGTTTACCTAGCAGTAAGTAGGAAGCTTGCTGTTAGACAATTGACAGATCGCTTTCCGGGGGTAATAATCCCTCCAAAAAATAAATAAAATAATAATAATTTGGTCATTCAATCCACAACTGTTTGTGGGACACTGCTGTGCGAAATTGGCCTAACCACAAAATATACAGTGAAATTCACTTGACAGTATATTCTGTGAAGCACTTTGAGACGTCTGAACAACGTTGGAACTTAAAAGAGTTAAATGTCCCATTCTGGGGCTTGAACTCACAACCTTCCAGCTCAGAGGCCAGAGTGCTACTAACTGACACCTCAATCTCATTTCAACAGCAAACGTGCATCAGAAATGAGTGGCAACTTTCTCCTTGTGATTAATGGTTACTCACGAGCAACTAGAAAACCAAATGAAAGGGGAGGAAGTGCTTGAACGTTTCTAACGCCCTGTTACATTCCAAACATCTTGAAGCACTTGAAAAGTAATTACAGGCAAGTGAAAGGCTGTGGAATATCTGAAACCAGTGGGTGGTGTACATTCTTGTGCTGGTAATGTTACTCCTTATGCTTATATCTTAATATCATAAAACATATCACAGGCTTTAATGCAATACTTATATAAGAACCAAAATTCAGTGTTATCCATCTATAATTTGACTCAGCTGTAATAGAAACAGCCATTAACCAGGCCAGGAGGGGCTTTCTGATCGAAATGAAAGCAGAATGGTATTTGCATTCTCGAAGTCACCTTTGAAGCCAGTTTTAGCACTTCCCAGAATATTGCACTCATACTTTCTCACAAATAGCCCATAATGAGGTCAGTAGTTTGCAGGGATTTTTTTTTAAAAACGGGATTCCTTATTAAGAAATATAATAATAATAATAATAATGATGATCCTTGCATTTGATATAGCGCTTTTCACGTCGGGAGGACGTCCCAAAGCGCTTCACAGAACACACTGTAAAGTGAATTGACTGTATATTTGTGGGCGAACGCGGCAGCCAATTGCGCACAGCAATGTCCCACAAACAGTCGTAGATTGAAAATGACCAATTTATTATTGTTTTTGGTTTTGGAGGAATTATTATTAGGCTCTGTGTGGAGTAAGGAAACTTGCCCAAGGTTTCGCCCTGACCCCCCGGGGATTGAACTCAGGTCTCTCACTTGCAAAGCGAGTGCTCTAACCACTGAGCTACAGGACTCCAAATGCGAATTGCACAAATGGGGAATTCTCCCGCTATTAGGAAACGCAGACAGAAGCGCAGGAACACTTCCCTCCGGGATCATCAGTTTCTGGAGCAGAGACAGAAAATCAATGGGATTCCTTATGAAGGAGACACACTAAGAAATACTGCAAATCAGACCCCAATGTTCCTGCTGCACATGAATCCGCTGGGTTTTATGCGATACACTTCACTATGAAGCAATAATAATAATCCTAATAATAATCCTTGCATTTGATATAGTGCCTTATCACATCATTGAGACGTCTCAAAGTGTTTCATAAGATATACTGTCCAGTGGATTAACTGTATTCTGTGGGTGAAATGTGGCAACCAGTTGCACACAGCAGTGTCCCACAAACAGCCATGGAGTGATTGACCAATTTTTATTTGGTGGTAAATTGGTGGCCAGGACACCAGGAGAAAGAAACTCCCTTCTCTTTTCGAATAGTGTCGCAGGATCTTTACCATCCACCTGAACAGGCAGATGGGAAGATGTGGTTCGGCTCCAGAAAACTCTAAGGACAGAATCTCTAGTCGTTCAAAAGATAGACAGTGGTAGTAGAGGTATTAAGGCGCATAGTGAAAGGGCAGGATATTGAGATTAAACAGGCTTGATGGATTGAATGGCCTCTTCCTGCTCCTGTTTTCCTATCTTCTTAAATTGGTGCGGGAGAGGAGAAACTGCTGATCAGGGGGACAGGAGCTCTGTATAAGGCATTTGGAGACTGAGGAGCTGTGCGAAGGATAAAAACCAAAGTGCTTGCCATTTTGTGGTGATGACGTTTCAATGGAAGGACTGAGTAATTTTGTCTAAGTAAAATATCCGCTCAAAAAATAGCGTTTGATTCCCGAACCCACTGCATCAATATTATTGCTGATTTTTGCTATTTGTAGCTAAATAAAGTCTGAATTTTTCTTTAGTCTAAACTGGTCTGTGTGGTAACACCTGCTGTCCCACAGAGCTTGCTTTCATGCTTTCAATGGCAAGTGCTATCAATGGCAAGCTCTGCGATTTAACTGCTTAGACTCCAGCAGTACCCCAGCATACATTCTGGGGTCCCTAAGCCTTGGCTCCTGTCAACCTGCGCCTAAAACTTTCCGGAATTAAGTAAGCAGGATGCATCCCTCCAGGGAGAGAGTGCGGATTCCATTTTCTAATAATCTATGACTGGGATTTCCAGGTATACGTGGGATGCATGGAATTTTCAGTTTGGCTTGGATACTCTTAAGCACGGTGATGGGTTTCCATATGTGTCAGACATCCGGTTGACCAAAAAACAAATTGACAGCCCCGGGCGGGAACTTTGAACAGACTTTTTTTTGAATCAAAAATAATTGAAGAGCTGATCTCGTGACCGGCTCTGTAAAAACATGAAGCAACAGACATCTAATAATAATATAATAATCCTTGAAATTGTTATAGAGCCTTATCATATCTTCAAGACGTCTCAAAGCGCTTCATAAGTTATATTGTGAAGTGGAGTGACTATGTATTTTGTGGGCGAAAGGCACAAAATACACAGTGTGATTTCAGCACAAGGCAAGAGTCTGATGTTACCCGAGGACGGCAGCTGGGAATATAAAACCAGACCTCTCGTTCCGCACCACTGAACCGCCAGGAGCAAAGCAACTTTGATCATGAACCCAGCATTGAAGGCAAACTAGTTTTCGAATCAAGTTGCTGTTTCTAACCTGCAGGAATTCCTTAGATGCTCTCTTCCCCACCCACCCCACCCCCTCTCCCCCCACCACCGCCTCTGCCCCCACCCCCGCCTTCAAATAGTTCCAGGCTGTTCCTGAACCCCAGTGTTACTGAAATGCTGGCAGCCAGGTTCACCATCAACAAGTGGCACGAGATTGCAAACCTGACTGAAACATACAGAGGAGAAGGAGCAGTTCACTATCAGTGGGACGAGTGTTAAATTAAGTTACTCAATCACCCTCTGTGAGCGAGCTCTGCAATAGCTGTGCGCCAAGGATATTGCCCACAGAGTAAGCGTTGCCGGACATTCACAGACAAGGGCATAGAGCTGAGGCACAGCAGTGCCCTGAAAGTTCTGCATGTCATCCATGTTCCTGACTGCATGCCGTGCACCAAAGTGTTAATGGTGGGCCTGTGGAGAGCAGCAGCTGACATCTGCCCACCTTATGTTGTGCCACCCCATAGACTACTGTGGGAAAGAAACTGTGAAACTAAGGTCCGCTATATAACCTCACCTTATCCATTTGCTCCACGCATTCTTTTGCTATCAGATTTTAAAACAAAAGCACCCTTGAAAATAATAAATCCTTAAACCTGATTTCCTATTATGATGATAATAATAATAATAATAATAATAATCCTTGCCTTATCACATCGTCGACATGTCTCAAAGCGCTTCACAGGACTTTAATGTGAAGTGCAATGACCATATATTTGTAGACAAAACACAGCAGCGAATTTGCACACAGCAGTGTCCCACAGATAACCAGGACACATTTTATTTAGGGGTTTGTTGGCCAGGACACTTGGAGAAACTCCCTTCTCTTTTTGAAATAGTGCCACCTGAACAGGCAGACGGGACCGTGGTTTAAAATCTCACCTGGACTGCAAGCTTGAAGTCCCCATGTGGGGCTTAAACCCACAAACTTCCAACCGAGAGGCGAGAGATCGTCTGACGCCTGGACCATGAGCTGTCCCAGTGCCGTTATGGACACCTACTTTGCTGCTCGTTTTTTTTTTATCCTGTCACAAAAAGATGCCTTGCAAGATCACACAGGGACGCAAATCGCTCATATCTACACTCGGTTCATAGTCTCCATTGGCACCTTCCAGCCAGACTATGGCAGATCAAGCATGTGGCTTCAGAGCTGCATGGCTGGAAGGTGGCCTGAAGGTGGCACTACGATACAGTTATAAGTACCAAAGGAGGAGACCATCCCAGTGCAGGTAACGGATTCGTGGATGAAGTCTTTATCTACTCAATTTATGTATTTATTTATACTTGTTTATACACACAGAGCAGATGCCTGGCAGTGAGGTGCAAGGCAGCAATTCGCTCCAGCAACTCTGCCAAGCAGCGCGAGAGAGAGGTGGTGGGGGGGTGGGGGGGGCTGACTGCAAAGCTATTTGTTACCGCAAAGATTGAATCAAAACAAAGTGGATTTTCAGCCCGGTGCATTTACAGATCGGGTGCGTGGAACACAGGGGGTTAAAGAGTAATATACCGGACAGGGAACTGAAGGCGAAGTACTTGCAATGGATGGATGGGATATCGGGAAAGAATGTGTTGGACCAGGAAAAGAAACATCCCCATCTGTCTGTTCAGGTGGACGTCAAAGATCCCACGGTGCTATTTGAAACAGAGAAGGGAGTTCCTCCCGGTGTCCTGGCCAACAAACCCCCAAAGGAAAAATGGTCATTCACTCCATGGCTGTTTGTGGGACACTGCTATGTGCAAACTGGCCGCCATGTTTCGCCCACAAAATACACAGTCAATCCATTTAGAGTATAGCCAGGCATGGCTGAGATCACAGAGATAGAGCTTACAGTAGCTGCAGGTTACTTTACATTATTCGACAGCACGCGTGGAACAAGCTAGTGCAGGTTTCAAAGTATTGACCTGGATTATTAAACAGTAATGATCGGAGGTATTTAAGCCAAGGCTCCTTGCTTCTGATCAGTGTGTTACCAAAATGTTCCTGTGTCACATCAAGCATCCAATTGTGCACTGTTACTGTACAGTCAAAAGGACTGTTTGTGAACACTGTAGTTGTGGTACTAATCAAGTAAGATACTAGTTAGTATTCACTGAGGAAATGTCACTCTCTTTGACCAAACACAAGCTACTGCTCTTTGCCAAGAAGTAATCACATCTGCTAGAAGGGGTAAAGATTTGACAGATGTTTTACTGGGGAATTGCAGTATACAGGAATCCTCAAGGTCTTGGCATTAGAGCCTCAGTTGAGTTCCCTCTCATTATATTAAAAAAATCAAATTAATTTATTTTAGATTGAAATAATTCAATAGGATCACACGTGGAGGAGAGGATTTGAAAAGGTCTATCACACGCTCTATCACATCAGCGCTCCATTGCAAGGTGGGTGCTAATAACATGGCACCAGAATTACTATCGGCAATATAGACGTTTGCAAGGTTGCCTGATGTGATCTGATGACTGATCAGTCACCTGAACAGGCACTTCCAACAATGTCTCAGTCCCCAGCACTGCATTGTAGTGTCAGCCTAGACTGTGAGTTCAGAGTCTCAAAATGGGTCTTGAATCCATAACCTTCTGAAGAAGAGACTAGAGTGAGCCAAGCTACAACTAAGAGACAAAGCACACTAGAAAAGCACCTGGATTAACATTCAGATTTATCTACTGTACTGAAACCACAGATATTTAAAGAGCGAATACTGAAACAGTGTCTGTTGTCCCTCACTGACTTTATGCTGTGCTTATCAGCAGGATCCTTTATCCTTGGAGGGTCCCAGTACACTCGTGTCATCATCTTGCCCGGCTCTGCCACCTTCACCCGTGACCCCGGGCATTTTATCCTGGGGGGTTCATGATCTGTTGGCATCAATAAATTGAGGGTGAAAATGGTTAAATTATAATACAATACAAAATTACATTTGTATAGGCCTTTCAGGTCAGGAGGATGTCCTAAGGTACTGGACAGTCAGGGATTTCACGGCATATTCTGTGAAGCGCTTTGAGACATCTAGAAGACGTGAAAAGCGTTATATGAAATGCAAGGATTATTATTATTATTTGGAACCGAGCTGGAGGTTGAGATCAGGGCGGGTGGGTAGGAGGGTGACCGAAGGAGCGGTTGAAGAGGAGGGTCTTGAGATGTGCCTTGAAGGAGGCAAGGGAGGGAGCGAGGCGAAGGGAATGTGGGATGGAGTTCCGAAGGTTGGGGTCAGAAAAACTGATGATTAAGTGGCAGTTAAATTTGAAACTAGAAAGCATTTAGTTATTCAGCTAGCCTCAGGGAATTCGGGAATATTGGAGAAGATTTTTTTGCACCAAATTCTCGTGAGCTTAGCTTTCGTACATCCCGTAAATGCAGAGTCAATTGAGATGTTTAAACAGCGAGACCGATAGGTACTTGTGAAGGAAGGGCAATGTAGAAAAATGGCATCAGAATATACACAGAGCTGGCACTATTAAACAGTAGAGCAGCCTGACGGGCTGAATGGGCTTCTTCCTGTTATTATCCCCACCTGTCCTCTTCCTTTGAGTCATTAGCAGTGCTGCACAGGTTAAACCTGGTCTCTCCGCATCCTTTTTCTCATTACAGCATCTCTACGCTTTGAACTAACAGTGGGAGCACTTTCACATGCCTTTCAAGCAGTGGTTCAGGATCATTAGTGGTGCAACATAGTACTTTGAGGGGATTAATATGGAAGGGCAGAGAAGGACAACTGGCAGCCCAAAGCTTTGTTCATAAACTGGCTAAGTCCACTCAACTTCACTGACAGGGAGACAAGAAAACCCACCAGTGCAAATTTCTTCAGCTTGTACGGGGTGTACTCTGAAGGTGTAATTCACTGCCATAAACTGCAGTTGAAGCAGAGTTCAACAATTCTTTTAAAAGGATTTTGAAAAAATTTCCAAAAAAAGAACATCAAAGGGTACAGGGAGCTAGCGGGAGAGCAAGATTCAGCATTAGGTGGCTCACGTAGAGAAAAGCACCAGTGCTGGTTGACCAAATGGCCTGTTTCTGAGCGGTAGTGTTCTATCTGCGTATGAATTGAGAGGAGATTTGGGTTGAAATCCCTACAATTAAATAATAATAATAATAATCCTTGCATTTGGTATAGCGCTTTTCACGTCGGGAGGACGTCCCAAAGCGCTTCACAGAACACACTGTAAAGTGAATTGACTGTATATTTGTGGGCGAACGCAGCAGCCAATTGCGCACAGCAATGTCCCACAAACAGTCGTAGATTGAAAATGACTAATTTATTATTGTTTTGTTTTGGAGGGATTATTATTAGGCTCTGTGTGGAGTAAGGAAACTTGCCCAAGGTTTCGCCCTCTGCCTGGAATTGAACTCAGGTCTTCACTTGCAAAGCGAGTGCTCTAACCACTGAGCTACAGGACTCCAGTTTCAAGGATGACTTTTTCGAATCCTTTCAAAAGCGTTCTGTCAACATCATAGAATCATAGAATTATACAGCACAGTAGGAGGCCATTCGGCCCATCTTGTTTGTGCCGGCTCTTTTAAAAGAGCTATCCAAAACAATCCCACTCCCCGAGTCACACAGTACTTCTTATCAGGTTTGGGTACTCTTTAAGCATGGCAATGGGTTTCCACATGTGTCAGATTCTCCGCTGACCACAAAAAAACTTTCTTATTATACACAAGCTGCAAGAACACGGTTCTTAAAGAATGAAGTGGAACACGAAGTATAATTTACCTACACAGAATGGTTCAGTCCCACTCCACTGGCCAGTCTGCAGACACACTCTCGTTCGGTCTCCTTCCAGCTGATATCCTTGTTCACATATGTACTCACACCGGGAATCCATGGCAGACCCCTTGGAACATATGTAGGTGCCATATGGGAAGGCTGGCAACATGTGACAACGCACCTCTGGGGATCAGAATAAACAAAGTGAGAGTTAGATTCCCCACATCCAAGACAATGGGATCTAATTTTGCCAGTTGGGTTAACAACCCACGTGCAATATCTGAAAAATGTACAAACACATACAGATGCTCTTAATTATGTAATTTACTAACGTGAAAGTTTCAGAATTACCTGGGACCCTTTTTATTGCTGTTTACTCACGTAATTAAGAGCTCCTTTAATTCCGCCCCCACAATATATGTCCTTGTACATGGTTAACCCAATCCATATATTTTGCACAAAGTTGTTAATCCAAATTGCAAATTTTGCCCTAATGTGATCCAGATTATTTTTCACACAAACATTCATTAGGCCTGCCTTGTGTATTGGATTTACGGAGCTGATCTGGTTCAGGTTGTTCATGAGTGTCTGTGGTGAGACTTGTATTAATGCACAGCACTCCTGAATGATGTGGACGTCTTTGAATTGGGATATCTTGAAAATAATTCTTGTTTTTGATATAGCGCATTATCATGTAGTTGAAACATCCCAAAGCATTTCACAGGATTTACTGTAAAGCGTAGTGACAGTGTAGGTGAACACAGCAGCCAATTTGCACACAGCAATGACCCATAAACAGCCATGGAGTGAGTGACCAATTTCATTTGGGGCTTTGTTGGCCAGGACTTCCTTCTCTTTTTGAATAGTGTCACGAGACCTTTAACATACACCTGAGCAGGCGGAAGGGAACTCAGTTTGATATCTCATCTGAAGTACAGCACTTCCAACACTGGAGATTCTGACACTGACACTGGCCGACAGTGAAATAGTTGGAACAATCTTCTGACTCAGAGTTGAGCATGCTACCAACTGAGCCAGGCTGACACTCAAAAACAGGTACATTATAGCACAATACAAAGCACAATTAGATCAGACAATGCAGAAGACAAACAGGATTATAATAATAATCCTTGCATTTGATATAGCGCCTTATCACGTAATTGAGACATCTCAAAGCACTTCACAGAATGTACTATAAAGTGAATTGACTGTATATTTTGTGGGCAAAACAATAAGCCAATTGTGCACAGCAGTGTCCCACAAACAGTTGTGGATTGAGTGACCAAATTATTATTTTTTTTGTAGGGTTTATTACTCCCGGAAACCTATCCGCCAATTGACTAACAACTGTGTTCCTACTTACTGCTGGGTAAACAGAGGCATGTGGAGTAATAAAATTTGCCTAAGGTTTCGCCCTGCCCGGGAATCGAACCTGGGTCCTCTTGCTTGCGAGGCGAGTGCTCTAACCAATACACTACAGGACTTCACAATTCTGGTTGGTGAAACTATTATTCATTCTGCAGCAAAAGGTCAACTGACTCTTTTTGGGGCAACATTATTGTTGCACAGGTCTCAGCTGAGCTGAGCGGTATATGGTGACTGAGCACTTTAGCCGTCTCCAATATCATGAAGCATAGATACCTAACACAGATCAAATACAGGCCAGCATAATTCACAGAGGTTTCTTCTTGGACCGATCCAGTATTACCCAGCCAGCACATGTTAGATATACTTGTCAACATGACAAGAGTTCAGTGGTCTGGGTTGCGAAAGACAACCTCAGCTCCAACACCAGGAAATATTTATTTCCAGAACAGGCAGCCAACAGCTGGAAATTATAATCGGGAATTACACTGCTGATATGTGACACCTCTGAGTCCTGTAGCTCAGTGGTTAGAGCACTCGCTTTGCAAGCGAGAGACCTGAGTTCAATTCCAGGCAGAGGGCGAAACATTGGGCAAGTTTCCTTACTCCACACAGAGCCTAATAATAATCCCTCCAAAAAACCAAAAACAATAATAAATTGGTCATTTTCAATCTACGACTGTTTGTGGGACATTGCTGTGCGCAATTGGCTGCCGCGTTCGCCCACAAATATACAGTCAATTCACTTTACAGTGTGTTCTGTGAAGCGCTTTGGGACGTCCTCCTGACGTGAAAAGCGCTATATCAAATGCAAGGATTATTATTATTATTATTATTAACAGGCTCCAGAAGCTGCCCGCCTCTTACACCTTACCCAACAACATCTACCAGTAATCATCAATAGGAAGTCAAAGAAATACGGAAAGATGGAAAGAGTAAGCCTAGGTTAAGCTGCGATGGAACGGAATGGATTTTCTATCAGATCGCATACATCAGCCACAGAAATGCATCAGGTTTATGAGACACATATCCTGGCTCCTGCGTTATGTAATACTGTAATTATATCATTGTCTGGCTTGGTCAATTGTTTGAGGCTTTAATAATTGCCCAATGTCCACAGGTACAATCGCGAACCCAGTTAAACCAATCTAAAGAAATCTACACGTTTGTTTTCCTAGTCTCCATTTCCATTCACAGCGGGTGCTTTAATCTGAGTATTTTCATCCACAAAATACAGTCACTTTACAGTGTATTCTGTGAAGCGCTTTGAAACGTCTCAATGACATGATAAGGCGCAATATCAAATGCAAGGATTATTTTTAATCATTATAGTGTCTCGAGATGCAAGATCCATCATTGCACTGTACTTGCATTGGTTAGTTCTCACATCTTCTGTAATTGGCATTTTGGTTCGGCTTTTAAATACAGCTTACATCTGTCGGTGTACACTTTGGCATTCATTAATTTGCTGCTATTATTTTGTAGGTTTTATTGCTTCATCAACTGTGTGGCACTATTGTATTGCACGCAGACTGCATTTACGTAAGCCGTCTGGGTAATACTGTCTCCCTCGTGAACAAATCTCTTATTTGAATTTCAATTTGCGAGGAGTTCCATGTTTCAATATCATGAGGAAACCCTGCATTCGACTTGGCAGCCGGCTCATTACAGTAAAATACAAAATTACATTTGTATAGAGCCTTTCAGGTAGGTAGAACGTTGCAAGGGGTCAGTGATTTGGAGCCGAGCAGGGGGGGTTGGGATAAGGGAGGGTGGAAGATAGGAGAGTGGCCGAAGGTACGTTCGAAGAGGAGGGTCTCATCGCCCTCAAGATAGAACCAAATCTGATAATCGGAACCAAATAAAAAAAACAATAGTAAGCATGGTAAATCATTTAACGCCTACACGTTTCCATTTTGAACACTTGAAAAAATATTGACTTGAACCGATATGGTTATTGCAATATTAGAAGCGGTGAATGTTCTGCTAAAATAACAGGAAGCAGCCTTGAAGAAACTGCAGTGAAATAAAATACAGATTGTCTTTAATGGGAAAGTGTGTTTGACTTTTGTCAGACATGCTTTCCAACTGGACGTCAGCAAGACCGAGGCCCTCCTGATTGGCGGGTGCCAGCGCTTCCGTACCTCGGGCATTGGCAGCATCAACCTCCACGGCTGCACACTCACCCTCACTAAGCCAGGTAGGAACCTGGGTGTTTTGTTTGACCCTGAATTGTCCTTTCTCCCCCACATCCGCACCATGACTGGCACTGCCTACCACCACCTCCGCAACATTGCCAGACTCCGCCACTGCCTCACCTCTCAGGCTGCCGAAACCCTCAGCCGCGCATTCGTCGCATCAAGGTTCGATTACGGGAATTCCCTCCTCATCGGCCTTCCCAACTCTTCCCTTCACAAGCTGCAGATCATCCAAAACTCTGCAGCTCGTGTACTCTCACGCACCAGGCTCCGTGACCCCATCACTCCCACCCTCGCCCGACTCCACTGGCTCCCCATCCCTCAGAGGATTAAATTCAAGATCCTCGTCCTCATTTTCAAGTCCATCCATGGACTTGCCCCCTCCTACTTCTCTGACCTGCTGACTCCCTACCAACCTGCCCGCTCCCTCCGCTCCGGCCTGCTCCATGTCTCCCACCTGACCTGCCCTACCATCGGTGGTCGGGCTTTCAGCCTCTCTGCCCCCACACTCCGGAACTCCATCCCACGGTACCTTTGCCTCGCTTCCTCCCTTGCCTCCTTCAAGGTCGGTCTCAAGAGCCTCCTCTTCAATCATGTCTTCAGTCGCCCTCCCACCTCTCTGCCTTCCCTCACCCCTACCCCACCCCTACCCCATGCTCGAGTCCTGACCCCTGACTATCCAGCACCTTGGCCGTCCTCCCAACATGAAAGGCGCTTTATAAATGTCATTTTTTTGTTGTTGCTGCTGTTCAGGAACTTTCACTTTCCCCTGAATGGATTGGATCTGTGTGAACCACTTCCAACAGCCTTGATCCCACAAATGGTCAGAAAAACACTGATTTGCTTTATTCTTCACATTCAAGGCCCTTCTCTTTGACTGCACTTTTCACCTTTCCCTTCCCCACCCACTCCAGCTCCCAACCCCTAGCTTGGGACCCCAGCCAGCAGTGCCAAGCTATTTGAGACATCCTCCCAAGGTCAAAGGTGTTATGTAAATGTAGATTGTATTGCGCAGTATTGTGTTATTGCTTGGAGATGTCCTCCTGACATGAAAGGCCCTAAATCAAAAGATTATTATTGAGATTATTATAAATGGGTAACAGTGCCCATCGTTTAGTCACAGACAAGTTGTTTTTATGTCAACTTAGAGAACAGTCTGAAGAATTAGAATGAAAGTGTTGAGTACACAAAATAAGCTTCAATGTATATAGGCTACTATTGGCTATGTATATAGACAATGTACATAAGCAATTGTCCACCGCGTTTCGCCCACAAAATATACAGTCAATTCACTTCACTGTATATTCTGTGAAGCGCTTTGAGTCGTCTTTACAATGTGATAAGGCGTTATATCAAATGCAAGGATTATTATTATTGTTATTGGACGAGCCTAGCACTTGGGGCAAGGCTTCTTGTAGGACTAGTCCAAGTTGCTTTGTAGGACTATTATCCTAACAATGCTCATTCCAACAATCTATCTCTGGGATTTCCATTTGTAGGTGGGATGCATGGAATTCTCAGTTTGGTTTGGATACTCTTAAGCATGATGGGTGGCTGATGGGTTTCCGCACGTGTCAAACACCCGCAGACCCCAAAAAAAATTCTATCAATCTTCCGGTAACCAGTTAAAAAGAATAAGCAGTGTAGCTGGATTCCTGTTGACGCGCTCGAGGTCTCAGCAGTGAGCCTCGTCTGTGGAGATGCTGCTGTGTTCAGAAGTGGCCTATTTTCTGGCTGTTCCAGACATCGCTGGGTTCCAGACAGAAGCCTTGCCAGAATGACAAAATGCCTCTGAGACCAGGCATCGAAAGGCTACAGATTCTGCCAACACTGCACCTATCCAATTGCACAGGTCTAGAGAACAATCAATTCACAGTAGTTTCCTTTCAGCTTTAGAACCTGCACTTCTGTAATGACGAGTGTCAGCCTGGCTCTGCTGTTAGCAATCTCCCCTCTTTGTCAGAAGCTTGGGTGCAAACCCTTAACTGTCCAGCGCTTTGGATCGTCCTTTCAACGTGAACGCTGCTATATAAATGTAATTTGTGGCCAAATTGAGAAACACTGTTAAATCAAGATCCTTGATCTGCCAGATCAGATGGAGGTCTAGATCTTACGTCACTCTTTCAAGAACAGAGGGGAGTCTCTCCCTCTCAGTGTCCTGGCCAAAAATCTCCCAGATAAAATTGGTCACTTGTTTCATGGCTCTTCCCGGGACATCGCTGTGCGCAAATCGGTTGCCGCACTCACCTACAAAAATACACAGTCACTACACTTCACAAAGCTAATTAATTTTGTGAAGTGCTGCCAGACATCTCAAGTACATGATAAGGCGCTATATCAAATGGAAGGATCATTATTGCACATGTGTGCATGCATGTACACATACTGTAAATACGTGCACACATTTATAAGGTAGGTGCACACATGTGTGTTTTCGTTTGTCTGAGGGAGGAGCTTTATGATCCCTCACTACAGTATTATGTTTTCTTTCTCATTCCATCTGTTCCAGCTCTCTCTCTCGCTCTCTCTCTATCCCTCCTCTCTGTCTCCGATTATCTTTTGTTCCCCAGCCCTTGGCTTGAAATCAATGACTCATCAGTCTCGAAACGCACAAAACAGGCCAAAGGGCATGAGCAAGTCAAGAGGAAACACCAGCCTGTGAGAGAGACTTTGTGAGCCAGAGACGTGACCAGTAAAAAGGGGCAAGTGTTCTCAAGGTCCTTGTGCCTGGAACATCAGGGTTCATCACATTTTTGAACATGTGTGGGTGCGTGTGTGAAATGGTAATGAATATGCACCCCCACTTCACACACACATAAGCACATTCATAAGTAATCTTAGATGTAGAATTGAACAAAAACCTTAGTGCAGCTTTGTGCTGCAAATCCATTTTTCCAGTGTCAGTCACACATACACATACCCAATACACACACACACACCCATATACACATATACCCATAAACACATACCCATACACACACACACATACACCCATATACACATACCCATATATACACACACACATATACACATGCCCATACACACATACCCATATACAAGCACACACACACCCATGTACACACACACACAAATGGAAAAGGAAAATGTACAGTTCGGGAAAATTGTTCCCTTGGAAGACAAAGAGTTAATTTCATGGTGTGTCGAGGGTGACATTCAAACAGTTGCCAAAGACGGCTGTCAAAAACCCCTCAATTGTTTCTGACTTGATGAACCACACACTGTTGTTCAAAGAGTTAACACTACGGGAATGGGCTGGGAGGAGTGGCCGAGCTTGGTAATCAGCTTGATTTGATCTCACCCCCACTGAAATTCCCTTCCAAATCCCCCTCGCTGAAAATCTTCCCTTGTGATACAGCGCCTTTCACGTCAGGAGGACATCTCAAAGCAGTTCACAGGATTTATTGTAAAGTGGAACAACTGTGTGTTCTGTTGGGAAATCCCTCCGCCTCGCACCCTCGTTCCCCATCTTCAAAAACCCTCCTTAAAAACCCACTCTTTGTAATGTGCTTCCGACCAACTTCCTCCTATCCTTTCTTCGTTCGTGATTCACACTATCCCTATAGAGCGCTTTGAGACACTTTCCGATGTGAAAAGTGCAAGGTCTCACTGCTGGGCAGCTATAGGCGAATACCTCTATGTAGAAAGTCCTGGAGATGAGATGAACATCCAAAAGCAAAAGCGTACTGGAGAGCCGACCGGCCTCAATCAATCCTTTGTTATATATTCTTAACATACAGTGTACAGTGTACAATGCAGTTACTGTTCCAAGCCAGGAACTATAGTATGATCTCTATTGTTCAGCCACACATGTGCCAAAGAGGCCTGACATCGCAATTTGCTTGGGGGAGGAAGGGGAGTGTGTGTATGTGTGTGTGTGTGTGTGTGTGTGGTTGGGGGGCAGGGGGTGGGGGAGGGAGGGGGGACATGAGTGATCCAGAAATCTGCAAATACAATTACACTGGTGAGTCATTTCCAACAACACTGAGCAAACGGAAATAGTTTCTCTTCTTAAAGCGTGCACCGATACAGTCCTTCAGGTCGGAATCTGTATCCGTCATCACCAGGTCTCTCACTGGCCATCATTAACCTGCACGGTTGTGACCTCAGGGTCACTTGCATTAAAAAAAGACACAAACAACAGCGACTCTAATCTGTGGTTGCAATGAAGCCGACAGAAGGGCATTTTACTCAGTAACAATAATCTGTTTCTGGACTGTAATCCTCTTGCTGAATAAAATCAGACAATGATTAAATTTTTGCGGTATCGTGTGTTCTCTGGTGTGCTGTTGCTTTGCCATCCTCATTATCTGTTAACACTCAGACCTCACGATAATCCCATTCCGTCAATTTGAAGTCCCCCGCTTCTCAATTCAGGGAAACGAGACAGGGTTCTGTTGCAACGTCTCAGGATCACTCATGTTTCCAACCAAATTGTCGGTAACTGGTTAATAGAATTTTAGGGGATCAGCCGGGTGTCTGATACATGTGGAAACCCATCACTGTGCTTAAGAGTATCCAAACCAAACTGAGAACTCCATGCTTCCCACCTACACATGGAATTTGTTGGAATGGAATGTGCTCTCTCTCCCCAGAGAGTATGAGGTGCAGGTTGGTAAGAGCCAAGGTTTGGGGACCCCAGAGTGTGGGTTGGGGTAACTGCTGGAGTCTAACCAGCTAAAACTATATAACTTGCAGATGAGATCAAGTGGGCCAAAGGGTCTTCTTTGCCTGACCTGCTTTGGCCAATTTGATCTCATCTGAAAGCTATCCGGTTTCACCATCTCTGCCAGAAATTCCATCCCATGCAATGAACAGGAAGAGGAAATTGTAGAAAAAAGCGAGCAGCCTCAGGCTACTTTAAATCAACTCAAGTAGTCTGTAAGGCAAACGCAGCATAAATTAGTCCAACCCACATCTGAATCCGCAGCATTTAAATAGACTTTGATAAAATCGATGGCATTTCACTATTGTTTGTGTATTTGTACCCCAGGTTCTCACCCCGACTACGATATAAGTTGAAATATATCTGAGCCTGGTGTAGTGGTAGCTCTCTCACCTCTGCATCAGAAGATTATGGGTTCAAGTGTCACCTTGGGACTTGAAATCACATAGTCTAAGATGACACTCCAATGCAGTGTTGGGAGGGTGTTGCATTGTCGGAGATGCCATCCTTCGGATGAGACTTTAAACCAAATCCCATCTGTCTGTTCAGGTGGACGTTAAAGATCCCATGGCGCTATTCAAAAAGAGTAGAGGATTTCTCTCTCCCGGTATCCTGGCCAACAAATCCCCCAAATAATAAAATTGGTCATTCATTGGTCATTCATTACATGGCTATTTGTGGAAGATTGCTGTGTGCAACTGGCAGCCATCTTTCGCCCACAAAACACAGTCAAATTCAGTTTACAGTATATCCTGTGAAGCGCTTTGTGATGTCTCGCCAACGTGATATCAAATGCAAGGATTATTAAGACTGCATTGATCGCTTGAAATAGCTCAGTTAAGCAGCCATCCAGTGACGGTAGACTAACAACAACAACAACAAGCAGGGGGGTGGAGGTGGGAGGGTGGCTGAAGGCATGGTTGAAGAGGAAGATCTTTAGGCAGGATTTGAAAAGGCTAAGAGAGGGGGTGAGGTGGAGGGATTGCGGGATAGAGTTCCAGAGCGTGGGGGCAGAGATTCTGAATGCAGCAAGAGAGTTAATATAACTGCTCAGACTCACGTTTGCACCTGCTGAAGCCAGACCAGCGCCTGCTCACTAGACACTGCACATGCCCTCGCCCCAGCAGCCTGTAGCCTCTGTCACACAGTATGGCACAGCGGGTCCCCAATGTGCTCCTGTAGTTGGGGCCCCTCGGTGAACGGCAGTCCACATAACCATCCTCGACTCTCAGGTGATTGCACCATCGGGGCTCTGAGGAGAGAACCTCATGTTAAAATAGAGCTGGGTTGACAGAGAGTTAAAATAATCCCTTAAAAAAATAATAATAATAAGTTGGTCACTCAATCCACGACTGTTTGTGGGACACAGCTGTGCGCAATTGGCTACCACGTTTCGCCCACAAAATAAACAGTTAATTCACTTTACAATATATTCTGTGAAGCGCATTGAGAGTTAACGTTTCAAGACATGATAAGGCGCTATATCAAATACATGGATTATTATTATTCCCCAACCCTCCAATTTCCTCAATGGAAGGCAGGAACTTAACGACGGAATTATGCCTCCATGTTTTAACATTAACCTTCAGTGTTCGCTTTATATATTAGAATTTTACTTCATTTTACTCTGGTAGATCCAGCTCATACAGCACACAGTAGATCATTGCTGGTGTAATTCCAGGTTTTGCTTCATCCTGCATGCCTGCGATTAGAATTGTTTTCCCATCCTGTTTATAAATTCGCAACATAATTCAAACCTCTGGAATTTCACTTACCGGTGGTCCCACACGCTTTACTATCAACTTTCAGCTTTTCCAGCTGATGACTGCAGCAAACAGATGCAGAACCTCTCCACCACTTATATAAACATTCAGTCTCCTATTCCTTTCACACATACTGTATTTCCTTTTCAACTACATTGTTTCTCCTCATTCTATAAACCCTCTAAATCTGAAAGCCTGTTCAAGAGCCTGCACAGAGATATATACCAGATGCTAAACTGAACTGGGAACGTAAACTCGGGCAATATTTTCAGAGGTACCAAGTCAGCAGGACGAGAGTGCCTTGTGAAAGGCAATTTAAGGGTAGACACCAGGCTGTATCTCTTTAGCTCTGACGAAAGATTGTCGACCTGAAACGTTAACTCATTTTCCTCTCTCCATGGATGCTGCCTGACTTGCTGCGTGTTCCCAGTGACTTCTGTTTTTATTTCAGATTGCCAGCATCTGCGGTATTTTGCCATTTGTATTTCTTCCCTTCATGTCCCCCGCCCATCCGCCCCACCATTGGCAGTCGGGCCTTCAGCTTTTCTTTCCCCACACTCTGGAACTCCATCTTGCAATCCCTCCACCCCGCCCCCACCTTTGCTTCCTTCAAGGCCCCTCTCAAGGCTTTCCTCTTCGATCGTGCATTTCCCCTCTTTACCTCTGTAATCGACGTGGTAAGCACTGCCAGTGTATTGGACACTGTAATCGGTGTCTCGGCTTTCCGGATACGAATACCCAGAACCTAGAAAACAAGGAGATTGACTGACTTGCAAAGCTCATCAAATTCCAGTGCAATCACTTCACAGAGCCCAACGCAATTCAGCAGGATCTAGCCATTTTGAGATATGTGGTTAGCAAATATGCTTCAGATTTTTATTGCAGAGCCTTCACCCGCACTATTCCCGAGGGGGGGAAGCAAAAAGAATTGGACCTGACACCCTATGTAGATTGGAGGGGTGGGAGGGTGGGGATTAAGGATTAAAGTCGAGCATACTTCTTTGTGAAAGTCTGGGGACTCTAAGCCTTGGCATCTGCCAACATGTGCCTGAACTCCCGGCGATTAAGGCAGGCACATTCATACCAAACAAACTGAACATGCACTCTCAGTCTATCAGTGGCTTGTTTGGGAGACTTAAACATGGGTGAAGCATGGGTTTCCATGTATCAGACACCTGGCGGACCAAACCAAAAAAATATAAAAAGTTATCGGCAGATACTTAAGTTTCCTGTAAACTCTCAACTTGTCGACTCTGGGCTGATGTGTTTTACGGGATGTATAAGTAATATGCCACATTTCAGTCTGGTCTGACTAAAATCAGCTGTTCTCCTGTAGTTAAAGTAAGCCTGCAGGTCCCATGGCCATTAACGTGTTGGGAGCACTTCAGCCTCTGCAGGGGATGGAATGTTTCAGGCATGCCAGAACCTTCCTTCCTTTCCGAAGTGAAATTAATCATTATAGTCAATAACAGGGGGAACACGGGTGGGTGGGGGGGGTGGGGGTTGGGGGGAGGGGTGTGTGGAGAGGGGTGTAGACAAGGAAGAGAAACAGGTATGAATGCCAGTTAAATGAGTCTGCCTTTTTTATTTTTAATAGCCCTTCATTAAGCATCCCTGCAGTCACAAGGCACATGCATCATCTCTATAGAGAAGAACGACTTTGGAAAAAGTTACTGAGCTTCCTACAGTGATGAGGAAGGCAAGTGGAACAATATTATGGAAAGTAAAATGTTGATAGAAAACCACAAAAGCTGTTGCATAACAAGAGGCAAAACTGGCACAAGACAGCAGGCACCTGAGAGTCCTCAGTGCAGAGTATGAAATAGCAGCAATGATTGCCAGGTTGTAATCTAATAAATAGGCTCAGTTGATGATAGTAATAAGACTTGCATTTGACATAGCGCCTTATCACGTCAATGAGACATCTCAGAGTGCTTCACAGGATACACTGTAAAGTGGAGTGACTGTGTATTTTGTGGGTGAAACGCAGCAGCAATTGCACACAGAAATATCACAAATAGCCATGGAGTGTGATCGATTTTATTTGGGGGATTGTTGGCCAGGACCCCGGGAGAGAGAAACTCCTTCTCTTTTCGAATAGTGCAATGGGATCTTCAACATCCACCTGAACAGGCAGACGGGACCTCGGTTTAATGTCAGGTTGCCTAGCAAAGGCACGTTAACGGTCTAAAAGTGTATGAATTTGTCCAGACTTCACCGGCAAGACAAGAGCTTTAGAAGAAAGATGGATTTTCGATGACAGAAGTGGAGGATTTTCTAACTGACCTGGTTGTGTACAGACTCAGTAGATTGGCCCATTTGCACATTGCCAACCCTAGCTTAAAGATAAATGTTTTTCATTTTGCCTTGGTACCCAGTGGAAAGAGTTGTGTGTCTGTAGTACACACAGAAGCTTTGTTCATTGTTTCACTTGGCAACTGCTACATTCACCCATTAACAGCAGCATAAATGAACAGTGATCTAGTAAGTGAATAAGACACGTTTAAGGGTTTGGGCATTGGATTTATAAGCCCCTTCTCCAGTATCTACAATCCCCTTGACTCAGTGATGAGGGTAGTCTTGCTCTCACTTCCCAGCCAATTCTGCGGGATAGTGCACAAGAGGGACTGAGGGCAACTGTTCCTTCAATCTCGAGTTGTACAGAACAATGACAAACTAAATTAGCAACACTGAGATGGCAGAACAGCTCAGCAACTGACTCAATCCCTCACATCATCAAGGCAGTTCCCTCCAGAATCGAAACCTAATTTGTCCCTACTGAAAGAAATGTCCAATCTCTACATTTATAGAACAATCACAACGTGAGGTGTCCATGCAGTTACGGTTAGACAGCGAGGTCTGTTAGCAAGTTTGAAAATTGAGACGGTCAAATATGTTTATTTGGAAATATATTTATTTGGAAAAACAAATATCTTTTGCCATTGGAAGGCGCCACAAACTATCTGAGATACTTTAGTCACATTCCCACATCGTGCGACTCTACTCCTGTCTCTCAGAGACATTAGCAGATAACCCAGCTACATGGTGGTGCACATTTTCTTTACACAAATTGCAGCTGCCTTTGAGAGAGAGAGTCCATTCAGCCTTTGATGAATATCTAACAATAATAATAATAATCCTTGCATTTGATATAGCACCTTATCACATCGTCAAGACATCTCAAAGCGCTTCACAAAATATGCTGTAAAGTGAGTTGACTGTAAATGTTTTGTGGGCGAATCACGGCAGCCAATTACGCCCAGCAGTGTGCCACAAACAGTCATGGATTAATTATTATTTTTGAAAAGAAAATTACCTCCGGAAAAGCGATCCGCCAATCAACTAACAACCAAGTTCCTATTTACTACTAGGTATACAGAGGCCTGTGGAGCAAGGAAACTTGCCGAAGATTTCGCCCTGCCCGGTAATCATACTTAGGCCCTCTCACTTGCAAGGTGAGGGGAGGGAAAGGCAGGTCAATGGGAATGAATGGATTGAGCCAGCTTGGTCACAGTGGGTTGAATGGCCTTCTTCTGCGCTGTAAATTTCTATGGTTCTATTCCCATCATGAAAGATACCCAGTGAGTTCATTCTGAACCAGGTGCATCTTTTATTTAATTTTTTTCGTCACCATGATGCTGAGTAATGGATAATCCAAAGTCAACGCTATTCATTTAAGAGTGCTTTGGGATAGAGTCATAAACTGCAGGATTTACAGCATGTGTAAATGGTGGGAGGAGGAAGGTGGGGGGGGGAGTGAAAGTACTGGAGGGCAATCAGCATTTGTAGAACCGTAACCCAGTATAAGGGAAAAACCAAACTCCCTCGTATGTCAAAGCTGGCAAGATGTAATTAAAGGGCAAAGTAATGACAAGTTGCCAGTACAGGAAGCTCCTGTCACAATTGACACAACGTCTAATAAAATAACTTTCATTTTGGTAGTAACGTTTTTACAGCACATCCTGAGCGGAATTCTCCCCCATTGATTTTATAATAAGTGAAGAATTTCACCAACAGTCCCCGCCCCCACCTCTTCTATTCACATTGCCCTCATTTTTGCCCCCCATAGAGCATTCGCTTCACAATAGAGGATCAGGTTTGATTCCAGACTGGACTACATCTTAGGCAACTTGCCTTACTCCACAACCTCTGTTTACCTAGCGGTAAGAAGGAACCCAGTTGTTAGCCAATTGGCGGATCACTTTCCAGGAGTAATAATCCCTTCAGAAAAAATAATAATTTAGTCACTCAGTCCACGACTATTTGTGGGACACTGCTGTGCACAATTGGCTGCCGCATTTCGACCACAAAACATTACAGTCAAAAAACAAACATTCACTTTACGATATATTCTGTGAAGCGCTTTGAGACGTCTCAACGACGATGTGATAAGGCACTATTTCAAATACAAGGATTATAGGATTATTAGAAATTATTTTCCGGGTAGGACGAATATCAATTTTATCATTTTTATTGGCTGGGTAGTTAAGTCACGAAGGGGAGATCACTTTCTCTTGTGCTGGAAACAATGGGAATGCTGGTGAAAGTTGTGTCGGCTGGAGTGGGTTATATTTTTCCAAACTCACACATATTATTAATCAATGTAAACACATGTTCTCAAGTCCATTACTCCTGGTCAATCAGCAGGTTTTACTTTGCTTTTTTCCCTGCAGTTCAGAACCTCCTGTTGCCGCTTGAATCTATTAGGACCATCATAGCTTTAAACCCCTCAATAAATCTCGGCTGTGTTCAATCAAAAAATATTTTACAGCTCAACCCGTCAGCTAATCAGCCTTTGGCCTCTCACCAAGTCGAAGCAGAATACGTACAAAAAAAACTCAAAAGCAGTCCGGCACAAAGCCAAAGGCTAGCATTTGCAATGGTTAAATTGCCTCAAGTTGTTGCTTTATTAAATGCAATTCTGTGCTGGGGAAATGTGGTCTTCAAATATTGGCCTATGGGTCATCGAATATATGAGCTGGACAGACAGGAAACAATTTCTTAATTGTTAAACATGGCTTAATTTTGCTGTGGAACTGCCCAGTGTTGCCTGTGGAGTCCTGTAGCATAGTGCTTAGAATACTCGCCTCACATGCGAGAGGACCTGGGTTTGATTCGCGGGCAGGGCAAACCCGTAGGCAATGTTCCTCACACCTCTGTTACCCAGCAGTAAATAGGAACCTGGTTTTTAGTCGATTGTTGGATCCCTCAAAAAAATATAATAATAATCTGGTCAATCAATCCACAATTGTTCATTTGTGGGACAATGCTGCCTTTTACCACAAAATATATAGTCAACAGTATATTCTGTGAAACGCTTTCAGACGTCTCCATGACCCAATAAGGCTCGATATCAAATGCAAAGATTATAATTACTGCTCATTGCATCTCACCCCCCCCGCCCCAGAGATTTCCCCGCCCACTGCACCTGGTGTGTAGTGGTTAGGGGTTGCGGTGTTACTGCAAAATCAAGTTGTCACAGCATATGAATGTCTCCCTAATTTCTCTAAGCCATTAGTTTCAGACACTGGGCCAAGAAGCAGCAAGCAACCTGCAAACAAGACAGCCCTGGGACAGGAATTTGATGAGGTTGCGATCTTCTGCACAATTAACTATTGCTGGGATGGCTCGTGGGGAACAGCGGTTGGCCTGCAAGTATTACAAACTGCAGCGCATCAGAACAGATCCCTGTAATGTCAGAAAGCCCGAGATTAACATTACGAGTCTGTAACTCACAGGCTATTTTATATGGCACGTGCAAACCATATAATTTTTGTACGCAAGTGCTTGTTATAAGGCTGATCTGCCTGATCTGTCCACTCCTGCAAATCATTATATCAGAAGACAAGAAAGGGGAGGTTGAGAGGCGATAATGTTGAAATCCTTTTGTTACATTTTACCAGTGACTAATCGCCGCAGATGGTACAGCTGTTTTTAGGATATAATTGTTTAATAGATGTTGGTTTATAACTGATCCCAGTTGTTTATTTCTCAATGAACTTGCAGCAATTACAGTACCTACCAATCATTAACCCTGTGGAGCAATTCTCATTCTGCGTTAACACAAAGAGATTTTTAAGTCGCTCCCCCACATGCAGATTTTTTTCAAAAAAGTTGTTGTGCAATTTAAATCACATTTTAGCCCCCAAAATGACGTGCCATTAAAATGATATCTTGGGTGTGATTTGTGGCATTTTGTAATGCATTCCTTTCGAATTGTCTTGTAGGCTTTTGGCTATAAAATAAAGCAGTCACTACACTTGATGGTATGTGCTGTGAAGCACTTTGAAATGTCCTCCCATCGTAAAAAACATTACATCAAATGTAAGGATTTTGTTTGTTTATTTTTATGCGATTTTCAAATTGAGACTGAATGTAAGGATTTTCTGCACAATCTTACACTTTAAGACATTGGCCTTAATGCAAATTTTTTGAATTTCATAGGTTTCTGAAGCCCCTTTCAGTCCCAGATACCCATTATTCTATACTTGGCTGATTAACTTCACAGCATGAATTAAGAAACTCCCTTGAAGACGTTTGCACGGTAAATTTTTAAGTACTGATCCACGCATATTCCTTAAATTAGCACTGGAGTATCGCTGCTAAAGGAATAACGCAAATTTTACCACTACACTTCTCTACATCTGCATTGTAACTTTCAGTGTTGGAAGCCCTCAGCACATCATCGCTCAAGTTCACAAATACACCGTTTAACGCCTGACAGAATGCTCATTACTCGAAGTGTTCAAGCTGGATTTCCCCATTAGAGCATTCACATTCAGAAACAACTTTTACACGGAACTAGTTAAACAAACTCAGACTAGAAAAACGGCATTTACAATGGCATTTTAATATTTTATAATATACTGCATATAAAATTACAAATGCTCTATCATGCATTCGCTACAATAGGCAGAGATCAGACACTTACCTTCATACCCATATCCATACCCATATCTGTATCCGTATCCATTGACAGCAGCCATCCTCACAGAGACAGACAGGAACAGAAGTAGGTTTCTTAACATGACTGCTTGTTGTTCAGGTCTAACTCAGTCTGAAACTTCTGGACGTGGCTCATGCATGCAGCACTGGATCTATGAATGAAATCGAGAGAGGAATTCAACTGTGTCAAAGGCGCCGTTGCTGTGGCAATAAATCACTCCCGTGAGCATTGAGACAGAGCATAATATACAAACCATATGCCAGACAATCACCACGAGTAAAGTGACTCATTCCCTGGTAGGACGGGTCACTGAAGAGCTCACCAGCAATAAACGTCACTCATAAAAGATCTTAGAACACATAGCAGCGGATAAAAGGGAGAGAATGATAGATTTGGATGGACAATGTTAGATTTCCTCAGAGGAGCAGATAGAGGATAAATCACTACCTTTGGATTCTATTTCCACGCTACTGTTCAGTACATGTTCCAACCCTGGACTTTGCTGCATGTGAGATGTGAGTGTGCTGGCGAGGGGTGCTAATGGCATCACTCCACTCCATCAAGGAAAGGGCTTCAAGAAGTCTCTTAAAGCTGTTCTGTCCATCCTTAAGACATCACTGTCAACTTAAACATGTTGCATTGAGGAGCTGGGCGCTAAGCAACAATAATAATCGTTGCATTTGATATAAAGCGTCTTATTATGCCGTTGAGACGTCTCAAAGAGCTTCGCAGAATAAACTGTATGGCGAATTGACTGTATATTGCGTGGTTGAAATGTGGCAGCCGATTGTGCACAGTAGTGTTCCACAAACAGTAAGTGGAACCTTTCTAAAACATATCGCTTTAAGAGTTTAATTCAGGGGTTAAAACTAAGCTAATAAGAAACAGCTTTTGCTTAAGACGTCAGATAGAATTTTGCAGTGCTGCCTTAAAGGGTCAGACTGGGAATGGACAATCTGTGTTTGCTGTGCAATGTATCTCAATCCAACTGGATCAAATTGTGAACTTCGTCGTGAAATATCATACGTGCTATCAACAATGAGAGGTATTTACTAAGCGGGGTTTGCAATGGTGGCAATTTTCCCTGCAAAATGTTTTCTCACATTTTCACACATGGTACCCGTTACCCCCTACGATCCTGTAACCCCGTGAGCACTGGGCAGCATCTGATTCTGGACAGCGCTTGTCTTGTCATTAATTGCCGACCACCCAAAAAGCCACCAGACAGACTCGTTCTCTCCAAGACTGAATGGTGTTTTGCAGAACAGACAATTATTTTGTGGCCCAGTCACTAAATAACGTATTTCACAGTTCAGCTAAATTGCGGGTCTGTTGGGGGTGGGACCAGGAATCTCGGACTCCACACAAGATCACTAGGTCGGTTTGGATGAAGAAGACCCTTTGGCCCATCTGATCTCACCTTTCCAGAATACACACCCTCGTCCTATCACAACATTGAGCTGCTTTTCAAATGAGTCCCAGTGTCCTGGCCCCCACCATTCTCTAAGACTCCCTAACATCTCAGGATTCACTATTGAATTTGTAACCTCTTAAAAAAGACTTGGCGTCTCTTTACATAATGATATTTTCCGATGTTGCAATTTGCCTTTCCGCAAAGGAAATGGTGCTACATCAAGAGTACTATGCGACGCAAGTTTAAGTTCATCAAAGTTCATCATCATTTTGACATTGGTCTATAAAGAGCAAATTTAGTGATGACAACAACAACAACTTGCATTTATATCATATTAATAATCCTTGCCTTTGATATAGCACTGCATTGGATTGTCAGCTTAGACAATGTGATTCCAAATCCTAATGTGGGACTTGAACCCACAACCTTCTGACGCAGAGGCGAGAGTGCTACCACTGTGTCCTTTATGCAGGATAACATCTCAGAGCACTCCAAACCAAGCTCGGAATGGTGGCACAGAGTTGACTTGATGTGGATGGTTGTGAAGAGATAGAAAAAGAGTCTGTAAAACCAATTCCTATTATAATATTCACATTGAGTGATGGATCTCACCATTCTTCAATATTGGAAGTTGTACAAAGAATTCCTGTACTTTGTTTTGCTGCTAATAGAATATCATTTTAATAATATAACCCTTGCCTTTGATGTAGCGCCTTATCACATATTTGAGATGTCTCAAAGCGCTTCACAGAATATACTATAAAGCAAATTGACTGGAGGCAAGGGAGTAAAAGTGTTTAACCGCAGGGTTTATGGTTTTATTTCAATTTGCAAATTCAGACACATTTTATTTCTGAATAATGCTTCAGAGATTTGAACTGTGGAATAAAACTATGGAGTTATCCTTTGTGCCATAGGTTGTGGTTTCTCTTGGATTGTGATATTTTCCCAGCATAAAGCACGACCGCATAATTCAATACAGATCTGGAAAGAGAGTAATAATGCATTGCACGAATGTCTCTCCTACTAGAGTTTAATTGCCCTTCAAGTAATGATGACAGCTGAAGAGGCCAAGTAGACGCCCGATTTTACAATGAAATGTCAGAGCACGAGTGTCTTGTGCGGTGAGGATATCCAAAGGAGCTGTGATTTGAAAGATATTTTCTGCTAAACATGCTCAAAGGCTCAGAAACGTGCAACAAACAAATGAGATTCGGCACGAAAAATTGCAAATGCTTGGCTGAGACTTAATGTTAGTGACAAGTCTCTGAACAGATCGATGCTGGTGACACCATTTACACAGAGCAGATGTTCAGTAAGGAAATCATCAGCTTCAAGTCAGACTGGCACAACTACTCCTTAAAATGAATGGATTCCGTGTTTGGATTACAATAGGGATCAAGTGATTATTAATTCTTAAATTAATGGCACTTACCTGGCAAATACAGGGTGACCGAAAAGTCATGATACCATTACAATATCTTAAAGTCTTAAAGAAGTTATGATTTCGTTTAGATAATAGGGTAGCTGAAAAATAAGACTTTTTGGTCACCCTCTCTACTTGCGATTCCTGCAACTTACAGCTATATTATCCTTTCCCAGTGAATCTTTAATGCGCTCTAATTCAAGTGAGTGTACTTGCCTCATGAATGACAGTCCATCAATCCATCCATCAATCCAATCCATCAATCCTCCGCTCAATGATCACTTCATTAGTTCGCAAGTTTATCTAGTCCCACACAGATCAGGAAGGTTGAATCTTTTGGTTTGTGTTGAGTCAGCTGATTTCAGATGGGACTGACCTCAGTCACTGGGTAAGTGATAGCCAACTGTCAATTTCTATGGTTAACTCTTCCCACTTCACAGACAACAATAAATTGCATTTACATATAGCGCCTTTTACATCAGGAGGACAATTAAGGGTTTGCAACCGAGCTGGGGGTTGAAATCAAGAGAGCCGGAGGGTGAGGGTTGGAAGGGGGCCGAAAGCACGATCAAAGAGGAAAGTCTTGAGACGGGCCTTGAAGGCGGCAAGGGAGTAAAACGCCAGTAAAAGTGTTTATCAGCAGGGTTTATGGTTTTATTTGTATTTGTTTTAAAAATTGCTTCCAACCAAACAACTCATTATGGAAGTGTTCCAAGTGGTTCAGACTCTGTCTGTAGCAGGTGGCTCACAGCAGCGCTTGACAAGTGTGTTACTCATACGGCTGCTCTACTCATCTGCATGTGTGGTCTGCAGACACACACAGGAAGAAAGCAAAAAACTGTCTGTGTCGTGCCATCATTCAAACCTCGCTCCCCCCACTCTCACGCTCCCGCTCCTCACATGATTAAGAAAAAAAAGTGTTTTAATTTATGGCTGAAACAAAATGTCATGTAGTTGATTAAATGTGACGGGTTTTGGGAACGGTTTCCACAACAGTCAGTGAGCGATTTAAAACGGTTTGGAAATGAAAACCAGCCCCCAGCATCACGGTGAGAAACACCTCTCTGCATTTCTCAGTGGTGTGGGAATGGCCACCTGCTTTTGTAATATGATTCAGCTTGACAAGCACCTTCTCCTGGGAATCCTCCTGACCTGATTCGAATATTTTGCCTGCTGTACTCTCATACCGCAAGATGTCCCCCTCCATTTGCCACATTCAAAGATTCCCCCAAATATAAATGCGTTACCCAAAGATATTGTTCCGAGTTCCCATAGCATAGTGCTTAGCGTGCTCACCTCGCAAGCGAGAGGACCCGGGTTCGATTCCCGGGTATGGCAAACCTTAGGCAAGTTTCCTTACTCCACACACCTCTGTTTACCTAGAAGTAAGTAGGAACCCGGGTGTTAGTAGATTGGCGGAATGCTTTCTTGGGTAATAATCCCTCAAAAAAAATTTGGTCACTCAATCCATGACTGTTTATGGGGCATTGACGTGTGTAAGCTGCCACATTTCACCTACAAAAACACACAGTCAATCCACTTTACAATATATTCTATGAAGGGTTTTGAGAAGTCTCAACGACGTGATAAGGCACTCTATCAAATGCATGGATTATGATTATATATATTTTTATTAAGATAAGGGCAGAATATCCTTGCAAAGGGTTAGATTCACTGACGATAGACTACTTTGAAACTTTGACATGTACACTGTCTCTCTCAAGAGCAGCCAAGATCTGTATCTGTCTCTGGTCTCAGCATGCCTCTGCATTATCTGCCATCAGTCTTTCACTGGATGCCCAAGCCATCAAATTTCCTGTGTGCAGAAATATTGATATACTTCTCTCCTTGTAGTTCCATTCCTTCCTCTCTGACCCCATTAAGGACTTACCTCAGTCTCTTCAATATCGATATGCTCCCTCTTGGTGACATCATCCGCAGACATGGGATCAACTTCCACATCTATGCAGATGACACCCAACTGTACCTCTCTGCCTCCACGCTTGACTCCAGGACCACTGCTGTCCTGACAGAATGTCTGTCGGACATCAAGTCCTGGATGAGAGCTAACTTTCTTCAGTTGAACATCAACCAGACCGAGGCTCTCCTGATTGGCTCCAGTCAGCGCCTCCTCACCTCAGGCGCTGACAGCATCACCATCCATGGTTGCACACTCCACCTTACTAAGCCAGTCCGGAATCTTGGGGTCTTCTTTGACCCTCCTTTCTACCCCACATCTGTGATATGACCCTCTCTGTCTTCCCCCACCTCCACAACATCACCCAGCTCTACCAATGGCTCACTCCACAGGCTGCCAAAACCCTCATACACGCCTTCATTACATCGAGGCTCGATTATGCAAACTCACTGCTTGTCGGTCTCCCCAACTCCTCCCTCCTAAGGCTACAGATCATCCAGAACTCTGCAGCCCGTGTCCTCTCCCGCACCAGGCTCCGTGGACCCTATCACCCCCATCTTCGCCCAACTCCACTGGCTTCCCATCATACAGTTCAAGATCCTGGTCCTCACCTTCAAAGCACTCCATGGTCTTGCTCCCCCTACCTCTGCAACCTCCTAATCCCCTACCATCCTGCTCGCTCCCTCCGCTCAGTGGGCTCTGGCCTGCTTCACGACCCGCCTCACTCGCCCCACTATTGGCAGGCCTTCTGCC